TTTGTCTGTCTGTCCCCGTCTCTCGCCCTGCCCCCATCTTTGTATCTAAGATACTGTGGGAAAGTCTAATATGTCATATTTACAGGCTGACTTCCTGTCCAAATTCAAGAAAAGAGATTATCTATGTGCTCTGCCTCATCTTGAACACCCTTCTCCCGCCGCTCTGTCTGGGAAAATTACATTTTTTCAAAATTTTAGTGTCAACCTTTAGTCATGGGTGACAGATTTGTTGGCCACTGTGGGTGTTGTGCTGGGCCTGGCATGTGTCTGAATGTATAATAGATGAGGTGCTGACCTGACCCCGGGGTCCTGCCCAGGCTGTCAAGGGGCAAAAGGTCAGAGTGAACCAAAGGGGGTGTCGTTCCCACACTGGGAACCACTTCCTGGACTGGTTCCAGTTCCTGTGGCTTTCTGGGATTCGATGCTCTTATTAGGTTGACTCAGTAGTGTGTCTTTACAGGTGCTGTCTTATTAAATGGGGGAAAAAGTTTGCTATTACCCAAAGGTATCACGCTTTGGGCGAAGCAGCCCATGTTTCCACCAGTTTTGAGTGGAACAGTTGTAATCAGATGCGTCATCAACACGTATGGCACGCCCATTTTGTTTCCCAGAAAAAATCTGCAATTTTTTTGTTTCCAGCTGTGAACCAACTGTTCCCTAACTAATTCATTTTTAATTGAAATGCTCAGAAGGGTTCAAAACTAGGTATTTTAACTGCAACAGAGCCGTTTCTCTGTTAGTGGAAAAGGCCTATCAGTAACTGAATGCTGAACCATCTGGGAATTTGTTGATTGAGACTGTTTGGAAAAGGGCAGGCACTTTGAGAAGGTCAGGTTATTGGATGAACCATCTGTCTTTCATTTTTTATCAAAGGCGAACTTCAATCAATCACATCAACAAACCCTACATATAATGTAGTGTATGTAACTGTTATCGCCATTACTCAGTCAGTCAGGAGAAGAACGAAAACAAAAAATTCAGAGCCATTCTTTGCTCTTCTTTCAATGAAAAAATTGATACTAGCAGCATCTACGCTAACCTTTTTAGCAGCCACCATTGTTGCTTTCGAGCAGACAGACACCTAGTATTAAATCACGCCCATTGCTTATGCTGTAGCGTCCAATAGTTCATCACAGGCCACTGATTTGTCCAAACTACTGTGGGTTGCACACAAACGCTTAGTTTGAAACCTGGCAAGATGAATTCATGTGTTATATTGTGATCTCGCAAGTCCAGCTCCAGAGAGTCACTTAAAAAACACTTGCTAACAATTTTGATAATCATAAATAAGTTTGTAGAAGGTAGTAGAAAATAGAAATAATACATTATTTCTATTACAAATAAATGAATCACCAATAAAACACGCCCTTTTTATACAGCCTTACTTGGTATGGTATGACCAGTAACTAATGTTATTCATATCAGCTATCTTTAGGGAAATATTACTGTATAACAGATATTACTGAGTCAGTTCTGACCGTCTTTGGGCTTTGGGATGTTGGTTTGACAAAATAAACATTTGAAGATGTCAGCTTGGAGGCTTGGAAAGTGATGAAGTGATGGGGATTTTTACTCTTCTCTTTCAGTTCTTTTACAGCAAACAGTGTGCCATGAAAACAATGATCCCCTCCACATCCACCCCTTTATTTATTAGCATTATACAGGCTGAACTGAGGATCATTGCCTGAACAGAAGCTGCTATCTGGGACCTTTCTTGTGTTGCGTCTGGTCCGATGTTAATTTGCGAACAGGATGGAGTGGCAGAGACGGGAGAGGCAGAGGCAGCTGTGCGGTTAAAGTGCTGAAGGCCAGCTGTCACAGGGGCTGATCTGCACAAGCAGGCGTGTGCAGGAATCCAAAAGAGTCACAGCTGAATCTGACTTTGTTACAGTACTCAGTGATCAACATGCAGGCGCAAGAGGATCGGGGACATGGGTAAACATGGCATGAGTCCTCGGGACAAGTGACCTAATTCTGATAGTGTGGTGATGTTGAGTTGTGGTTTAAAAAGAAAAGGTTATGTTTAAAATTTGGTTAAGTCACTGAATCAATAATCAGGTCACATAAGCTGTGGTCTGAATGGTTTTTTTTGCAACCTGCAATTACAGGAACTTGCACTGCACATGCTTGTCTTGACCTGGATGGTTAAAATATAGTATGAGTAATAAAAGTAGCACAGTTGGCTAATGTCATGTCAGGAGCGTGCACACTGATGTTTCCAAGGACAACAGTGTAAATTTTGGTGGCACGGTCACTGACTGTCATCTGATCCTGTGTATTTCACTTGCATGTCTGTAGCATGACCCAGAGGATTAGGCAGGGAGTTTGCTGAGGCTTGGTGTGTGTGTGTGTGTGTGTGTGTGTGTGTGTGTGTGTGTGTGCTAAGGGGGGCGGGGGCCACAGTCTGCTGCGGTCAGTGTGCTCCACAGGCCCGCATCCCAACAGGTGCTGAGCGTGTTGGGCTCTGATGGTGAATGGGCTCTTTGTTGCAGAGGATTCACCCTCAGAGAGAGGGCAGAGCCAGCAGACTCCCTCCCACACACACTTATCAGCTGAGGCTGATGTCTGTGTGTGGGTGTGTGAGGGTGTGTTTGTTTTGTCCAGGGTCGGTCGGTTCCGTTATTCCTTGCATCTCTGAGCTCTCTTTATATATCATTGGTGGAATGTAACCAAGTACCTTTACTCAGGAAGTTTTTTTGTTGCTTGTACTTTTCCATTTCATCCATTTCATGCTCCTGTATACTTGTATTTCACTATGTTTAAGGGGGAAATATTGTATTGTTTACTTCACTATATTTATTTGCTATTCATTATTGTTACTAGTTACATTGTAGATTAAGATTTTAGTTACAAATTAGGTTAGATCAGGTCGAGCTGCTAGTCTGCTAGTCATCAAATCGAGTCCACACCTCTGCTAATTATCGCTAAACACACTGAGGCTGAAGGGAGTGTCATTAGTTTGCAGGTATTTAGTAGTAAACCAAAGTGTTGGAAATCAGAAAATGTTATTACAGTTTATCCTGTACAGTCATTAAGATGTATCATCTACAAACAATGAATCTAAAGAATCTAGTAAATGTCAGATATTTCAGTAAGGACCGACCAACCCACAGACCTACATTGTACCAAGAGCTGTTCCGCTAGCATGGCTAAAAATATTTCATGCCAAGATATTCAATATATTTTATGAATATATATAAATGTAAACATAGGAATCGTGGAGCTGAAAGAAAAATAGATGACCAACAATAATGACAAATGATGCCTCCTGATGAGTACCCATTGTTTTAGTTTGCACACATTAAATTCAAATTATATTCATTGTGGTATAACTGATATCGCCATGTTGGCATTTCATGTAGCCGGTTCTTTGTAAATAATATATATCTCACATATTTCACTTTTCCAACACTTTTGCACTTTGCACTGCTGCACATACATGTAACAAAATATCAGGTGCACTTGGAAGCAATCTCAAGACCCACCTCGTTGTGTTGGTCTTTGCTCTTGCACAATTAAAATAGTGCCCTCAGTGTTTTTGATCGCTGTACTATTCCATCCAAAGGAAATATTCTGCATGTGTTGTGCATACGTTTAGACAAATGACCAGTGCCTGAAATGAGCCAGTACTCACCAGTACTGAGTACCAGTGCCTGTAACAATCACAGGCAGAGCCAGATAAACGTGGGTAAAAAACATCTAGCAAGCTAGTTTAACGCTCGGAAACTGGAAATGTCCTTGTTAAAATGGAAACACAAATTTAATCAGGGTTAGGGTTATGCTGTGGTTAGGGTTAGGGTTGTGCTGAATTAGGGCAGCACAGTTTGTATTGACTGAGCCACTGGAAGGTTACTGGAAGGTAGCTTACATTTTCAAATGAATACACAATTTTTGGACATTTATTATCAGACAGAATAAATAAAGAATATTCCCCAATAATAGCTTGTTTGCATTATTACAAATATCTTGAGTTTGTTGCAGGTATCACAATGAACTGGCAGCTGACTGTAATGTTGCATTTCTGACATTCACCATTTTGTAAAAGTTTAAAGAGTGTGGCAAGCTAACAACACATCAGGATTTGGTTCACCCTTTATTCATCTAAGCCTACATGTTTCTCATGAGAGTTGCAAAGATAAATCAATGAGGTAAGTGTTAGCACCCACTTTTTGTGTAGTTTCTGTGACAGTTAGTCAAACCACAAGCTGCTGGCTGTGAATTCTGCTTCGTTTTGGTTCTCATTATTCACAGCTTGTCCCTCCTAATGACAGCCACCACAGCAAGGTGGTTGACACTGGTGCAAAAGAAATGTACAACTCTGTTTGTGGTTATTACATGAGCCCCAGTCTGGTTTAGATTGGTCACATACGGAGAAGAGCAACCAGTTTATGAGGGGCACAGTTAGTGACAATGAAGAATGCTTTGACACAAGGCAGCAACTCAACAGGGAAACATGCAAAGGGAATCAATACATAATAATCAGTGATCATTCTTCAGTTGCAGAGTACAAATTCAGTCGAGTGAAATGAGGTTTCATTTCACACTTCAATGTATTTTTGGAGAGATGAGATAGGATGCTTACAAGCCTGCAAGAGGAAGCTCTGAAGAAACTTCCATTTACCTCTCTGAAGGCAGCACAAATAGGAAGTGAAAATATAAAGCAAAGAAATATACCATCCAAACATCTCTGCTTAGTTTTTTGGTGTCGTTTCACAATCACTCTGGTCCTTCTGTGCTGTGCTAAAGTGCTGAAGAGAAAGAGTGACTCTGTGACAACAGTTGTGTTAATTATGATCAACAAAAGGGCAATTCTTACTTGTGAATCTGGAGTCAGATGTTCAACCTGTAGCAACATTTTGCAAGAGGAAATGTTGTCATAGGCCTACCGCAGAAATAGATTGTCTTCATGTCAAGTTAACTTTGTCAATAAAATGCATCACATGCTACCAGCCTACATACTTCCTAATCTTTATTTCCATTTTCTTTGCTCTTTATTTTAGAACAAACTTGCAAAGGCTCTGTATGACAACACTGCAGAGTGTCCAGATGAGTTGGCCTTCAGAAAAGGCGACATCGTCACGGTAATGGATCAAAACGTGGCCGGCACAAGTGGATGGTGGATGTGCTCTCTTTATGGACGTCATGGCCTGGCCCCTGCAAACAGACTGCAGCTTTTACCACAAACTAGAACCATAAGCCATGTCACAGAAAAACCCAAATTAATTGATGCTACAACTGGTGACAGTGTGCAAAATATCTACCAGATCCCGAGTGTACCCCGGCCCTGCAGCAGCCCTGCTTATGAACGCATGGACATGATCTACAAGGTCCCATCCACTCCTGTATCAGCTTCAAAGAGTCCAGTCTCTTCAGCACTTAAGCACAGCACAGAAGGACCTGAGGTAAGCCCAGTACAAACAGTTTCTTTCTACAAGTATGAATTTATGTAGAGGAGAACAAAAACTAAATGCATATATATTGGTCTGAGGTCAAAGTTGATCCTTTCCCTTGGGAAGTGTTCGCTCTCATGATTAGAGAGGTAGACTGTTGCAGAAATGCAACGCTGTGAAACCCCTGCTGGCAAAAGAGCTTACAGATGGGGACCAGGGGCCTCTCCATGGGGACAGGCATGCAGCAACGGGGTCTTTATGGGCCTGTAAAAGACAAACAGACACAGACTTCAGACACTTTTAACTGCAAACAGCAGCCCATGCCGCCAGGGACCCCAGAAAGACAGAAGTGTCTGTACGGGTGCTTGTGCAGCAGAAGGTGGGGAGAAATATACCCACATGTTCACCATTTCCTCTCCTGCTCCAGGGGAGTCCTGTTCCCTTCTGCAGTAGCCACCTAATATTCAATGAGCAGCATGGTTTCTATTATAAAGCTGCGTTAATTGGCAAAGTGCATGCATAATAGGGTTCTCCGGTACTCTTGAGGGGCTTCAGAGCAAATACTGTCCCCATAAATGTGTTGATGTGGAGGTCAGTGAGGTTGATGCAGCTTTGATCAAAGCAGTGCAGGTGTTGCCAGTCAACGCCAATATTACAGCCTGTCTGTCTTGTCTGCAGCCTTCATTCTTGAGCATGGGGTCCAGTCCAAAAGGGGAGGTTTACGATGTTCCGAGCCAAGGAAGACGTGCTTCTCTTTTCAATGTGAGCTCCTGGAAATATAAACAACAAAATGAAAAGTAGTGACTGTTTGTATTTCTGCCACTTGAGTGGGTCTGATATCTGGACTATTATTGTCATGTTCTATTTTTCAGGCATCAACAACTCCAAGACATATGCCACGAACACACTCACTGCTTCCAATTTCGGAACTGGAGAAAAGATTGGACTCTCTGGAGAGTTCAAGGTGTAGCAGTCCAGGAGACACTTACGTAAGTTTCAGACATTTGAAAGGATTAATAAAACTATGACGTGCTCACTTTAAAATGCAGTCTTTCACATTTTTTGCATATTCAGCTCTGCTAAAGGTTCCGTATACTTAAAATGAACTAGTTCATACAACATGACAACATGATAAAGGGAATAGCTGTGATATTGACAACTTGTTCTTGTGCACAGGTATATGCAGTTCCACCACCTTTGCCTCAGGACCCAAACTATGACATCCCTGTTCCCTCAACCACAGACGCCCAACAGAAAATGATCGCTGGATACAGTACCCTTCCCAACCCCCGCAAGCCTGAGTGGATTTATGATGTGCCAGTGGGTCCTGAGAAACAAAGTCCACCCCAAGGCTCCTATGACATATTGCCCTCCAAAACTGTTTGTAGGGACCTCTATGACACTCTTCCAGTACATGCTCGGACCATTCAAAGAGGAAGTCCAGCTCCCTTGCTTTATGATATACCAAAACCCAGTTCACCACCCAAAGTGCTGCCAAGGGCCCCAATTTATGACAAGCCCCCAACTCAGAGGCACACAGAGGAGTCAGTTTATGTGGTTCCACCCCAGGAGGACCCCCTCACCCGAGTTCTCAGTGATTCCACCAGTGATCATATACCCCTAGAGTGCAGGCGCGACTCAAACAATGCTCATGAACTCAAAAGGGTGCGTCTGCAGAGAATGAGAAACTTCCTGGCTTGTACGTCTTTTCGTGATCTTCCAGGAAGTGGGGAGTCACTGGCGCAGGAGGATGACGAGCGACGTAGAACCATACGCCTCTCTGCAGCAGACAGTCAAAGAATCAGCACTGCCTCCAGCTCCTCCACCAGCTCCTGTGACTCTCTGGCTCTGAGCTCCTCCTCTCCTGAGCCCCTGCGAGAAGTGACTGTCAGCCAGGACGAGGCCTGCCGCAGACTTCTGGACCTACAGGAGTCCGTTTGCAAGGCTGTTCCCCGTCTCATGGACTTTGTCAGCAGTCACTGGAGGAGTAAAGGACATCTTGAGAAACACCTGAAGGAGATCAAAGAGGCAGCAGATGGGATTGCATGTTCTTTGACATCCTTCCTAAACTTTGCCCTGGACGTTAAGGGCAATGCCCACCGTTTGACCGATGCCAACCTTCAGACGAGGCTCTGTAAACAGCTGTCCATCGTAGAAGACTCAGGCGTCATCCTACAACAAACAGTAAGTGCTCTCAACATCGCTGGCTGGCCCCTTAACACACTCTGTCAAGATCTGGGGCAAGTCCAGACACCTGACCAACTGGAGCGCTTTGTTATGGTGGCACGCACTGTCCCAGAGGACGTCAAGCGCCTGGTGTCCATCATCAATGCCAATGGCAAGCTTCTGTTCAGAGCCCCTCAGAAAGACCCAGAACCTCTTGTCACCACAGGTCAGCCAGACACAAAGAAAAGTCCTGATGGAGGCGAAGAAGGAGGGGACATAGTAGAGGATGACAATGACTATGTAGAGCTACAGGTGAGAGCTTCTAGGCTTCTAGGTCTTCATAAATAATATTGGTTACTTTGGTGCTGCTTTAAAACCCAAAGCATACTTACTAACATAATGTTTTTGCTCTTGACTTTTCCTCAGACTAAGACTGATTTTGAAAAGCAGAAAAAAGTGCAAAATGAGCCAAAAGAAAATGTCACACCAGTCTCTAACAAGGTGCAGGTGAGTATCTCCTATTAACACAAGAGATTTGTTCCAACTTAATGAGAAAACAACAAATACATTTGTCTCTTTTTAATTTTTAAATATCCAACTACAATGTAGCTATCCAGGATTTAAAGTTCCAGTGTGTAGGATTTAGTGGCATCTAGCGGTGAGATTAAAGATTGCAAGCATGTAGGAAAAACTACGGTCAAAAAACTACGGGGAAAAAATGGACGTATCAACGGCCAGTATTTGGTTTGTCAAGACATTTTTTAAAGCTAGGCTATGAAACTTTTGAAAGACCAGGTAACAAAATCTTCTCATTACAAATGAAAAGTTTGGTTAATTAGCATCAAAACTCAACAGTTGCCAATTCAGTACACTCAGTGCTTATTCTGCTACAGCTTCACTCGGTCTGGTATGACCATGGTGGCTAATAGTAGCAGTAGCTAATGTTAGTTACAGTCAGTTTACTGCCTCTATGCTAGCTTAGTGTTACTTTTTAACTATGTTTAAAGGTCCAGTATTTAGTGGCATCTAGTGGTGTAGTTTCAGATTGCAACTCCTCACCCTCCCCTTCCAAGCACAAAGGAGAAACTACAGTGGAGGTGAAACATGCAAAAAAACGCCAACAGCTCTTTCTGGAGTCAGTGTTTGGTTTGTGTTTGGGCTACTGTAGAAACATGGTGGTTCAACATGGCGGACTCCATAGAAGGCAGCCTGCGACGTCCGTAGATATAAACAGCTCTTATTTTGATGCGATTATACACTAATGAAAACATGCTTATGAATATTATATATTATTATATTCCTGACAATAGATCCTCCTAAATATTACACACTGGACCTTTAAGGCTTTCCTTGTAGTGAGAAAAAGACAGGAAACACTGTTGTCCAGAAGACATGATATGTGGCCATCATCACCTTTTTTGTTCCATGTCTCCACCGCTCAGGCTGATAACAAGTGCCACTCCTCTGAGTCCAGCACCGGCACAGAAGAACATCCACCATCCTCCCTGTCAGAGCACTGCAGGCTTTACTTTGGCGCTCTTCAGAAGGCCATCGGGGGATTTGTGGACAGCCTTCGAGATGGCCAGCCACCAGAAAATTTCATCCGGCAAAGTAAGCTGGTGATCATGGTGGGCCAGAGACTGGTGGACACCTTGTGCAGGGAGGCCCAACATGGAGAGTCCAGCCGGAGCCTTCTGTGTAAGAGCAACCACCTGTGTGCTCTCCTGAAGCAACTGGCCGTGGCCACCAAGAAGGCGGCGCTGCACTTCCCAGATACGCAAGCTCTGCATGAGGCTCAAGAGTTTGCTAAGGAACTGGCCCAAAGAGCACAGCACTTTCGGAAATCACTTGATGTGTGAGAGCGCGCACATCAAGCATATTGATTTGTTTCTACAGCAAAAGACATTGGTTCATTTATTGGCCATTGATCAGTTTCCTTTTTCATTCATTTCATATTTTCATAATTACGTTCAAGCTTCACTAGCCAAAAAGATTATTGCTTTTTGCTGAATGTTGTTTATAAAATGAATGCAGGTACTGGTTAAAATGTCAGTGATGATAGAAAATGCCACTGGGAATTCAAATATGGAGCTGTATTTGTACTAAAATAAAAGACTTCAACAGAGTGGACTTCCAAAATAAATTGCACATTAGTATACTGTACTGAAGCCAATTTTAAAAAGCAATTTTAAATATAAAGTATAAAATATAATTTGTTTTATATAATTTACAATTTTATATTCTCTGAATAGTGTTTGTTATGTAGATGTTTTGTTCATTTTATTACTTTATTACTAAGATGTATACTCTCCAGGGTAGTAGTTTGATACTTTTTGTGAATATCTATGTAAATATTCCCCAAAATATTGTTATGCATTCCCAAACTTTTCTTGACAGAAGACACATGTTGGATTTTTATTGATATTAAAATTATAAACTGAAAACTCTTGAATTTGTTTTGTTAATGTCTATCTGAAACATACATACAGATAACAGTACTGACCTCTGTAGAAGGGAAGTTTATTTAGCTGTCAGTGCAAAATAATATGAAAACATTTACACAGAAAGGTCAGTTTACTGGAGAGTACTAAGCTTGTGAAACAGTTAATCTGATTATGTCATCACTCGGAGTATTCACATTTAGGAATAGGAAGTAGAGATGAGCAGGAACTGTATCTGTTTAACCAGAATTCCATTTGAACTGGGAAGTCAGAATTTCTGAGTTTCCAGTCAGATATTTCAATTGGAATGTCCCCTGAAGTTGGACTTCCAACTAGTAAAGTCTGAAGAACCTTATCAACCCCAACCTCAAAATCCAAGACGGCTGCTCTGTGCGTCAGTGAAAGCTGTTTATTACTGTTGTGGGTTCGATCCCAATGTGGCACGTAATGTAAAAGAGCTTTGAGTGGTCGGAAGACTAGAAAGGCGCTATACAAGTACAGGTCCATTTACCATTTACCATTCATCCCCCAGGGGAAATTAACAGTTTCCAGCAGTATCCACAGACTGATAATAATAACAATAATAATAATAACAACAACAACAGCAAGCAAAATGCAAAAGTACCAATAAAATAAAATAAAATCAATAGCAAAATAACAAGCATTGGGTGAATGTCCTAAGGTGCATGGTCAAATACAGTGCTTGAAAGGCCTAAGGTGCATAAGTAAGTGGTCACAAAATGCAGGGTGCACTGCGTCAGGTGGTACAGTTTGATACAGGACAGACATATTGGAGTTTAGAGTTTTTCGGTTTTCCTCCCCTGGGTGGAGTTGAAGAGCCTCATGGCGTGGGGGGAAGAACGATCTCCTTAGTCTTTCAGTTGAGCAGGACAGTGACACTGATGTTTATCCAATTTTGTGTCTTGTTAAATCAGTCGTACACACAGTACTGTCGAATCTCTGACTGTGGACATGTATGTGAAAAATACAGCGTAATGCATTGTTATCAACTGGTAATGCTAAAAATGGCTAAGGGCTAACCTGGCTTGAGCTCGATTTTCCAACCTGTTGTACTGGAACGCAGTCAACTCGGCTGTGATGTCATTCCCAGTTCTGACCTCCGACTTCCGACATTCGGAATTTGTATCTGTACTTGTGATGGGCGGGGCTTAAACCAGATGTGGGAGGAGTTTACAAGCACTGTTAATTTAACCCTGAAATTGATCAGAAGTTGCTGTATTTATAAGAAAACCGTTTACAGAACAGCCTCAGAACTGAGCTTTAGAGCAATGTTTTTTAACACAAGAGTAAGACAACGTTTTACAGAACAGATCTTTTAAAATAAAAGTTGCTATATGTACGAGTATGAATATTGAGACATTTTATTTGTTATTAAAAAAAGTACATCAACTGAACTGGATCCTCGTTCCAGCTGAGTACTTTGTTAACCATAATAAAAAGCCTACATTACAAACTGGTGGGGTGGTTAGGGAATGCAGGATCCAGGGGTTTTGGAGCTTTACCAATACTCTGCACTAAAGGTCAGGATATATTCGCCACTGCTTCTTCAATTTTGACTATTTTGGTGAGTTCCCCAATGAAAGTGCAACACTCCATAACTGGAGTTCAATAGTGTGATTTGTTATTACTCACTGCAGTGGAAATTATTATTGTTTCCACTGTACCTCTGCAGGAATATCAGAGGTCTGTCATTACAGAACAGTAACCCTCAGGTTGGTGTCTTCACTGTCTTACTTAATCCACTAATGTACACAATTTTGTCTACCATCCACCTGCTGCCGATACAGGATGGCAGCTTTGGAATATTATAGGAAGCCTTTTTAACATTTTGGCCTGATGAAAACTAGTCTTCTGCCTATATTCTGGATTTTTTTTTTTTTTTACGGTACTCTTAAATAAACTAAATTAAAATAATCCAGGTACAATGACAGCAGAGTGTACAACTAAAGTCTTTAAAACATGATTACTCCCTACCTTTAAGACTGCTCCCAACCCCACCCTTACTTGCGTGACAGTGCATAGAAATACAGTATATGAATGAATGAGTCAGAAAATAATAATAAAAAGGTAGGAAAATCCTAAAATACAATAATAAAAATAATTTACAATAACACAATATATGTACAGACAAAATAGTAATATTAAAACCGCACAAGTATGAAAGGAACTTAACAAAAAGGAAGTGTTAAATGTCAAAATACAGTTATGTAGAATGAGAAACAATAGATACAATTACAGTACAATACAATGGTACATGTATGTTGGTGGGTGGATTTATGATTTACACACAAATCTAAAAATATTCACATACATTTGATTTTTTTTTCTTGGCTTTTTCCTATCATGCACGGTGCCAGCTGGGGGCAATTTGAGGTTCTGGGTTTTGCCCGTGCAAGGACACAAGGACATGTGGACAGAAGGAGCAGGAAATCGAACTGCAAACCCTATGATTAGTGGACGACAAATTCACAGTTTCAATAGGTGGGTCTCGCGTCATACTGCCTGATCTTCAGGCCATGTTGTGCCTACGAGGTGCACATTTCAGCAATACTAAACACAATGCACAGAGAAGGAGGGCATGAGGGGTCAATGTGGACCCAGCAGCTCATTTTGCCCCAGCGCCCTCCACCAGGTTAAAGCCTCATAAGCAGAGATAGTAGAGCTGTAAAATAGGAATTATTATTGAAGCTTTATATCATTACATACATTATTATTTTATGATACACAACAACGTACAAAGAGAATGAAGTCAGTCCTCATTCTGATGTGATTGTGCATTACAAAGAGCAGTGATGGGGAACAATCTGAGTCTGGGAATCAGAAAAGGTGTTCAGTTGTTTAATAGCAAATGGTGTACAATAGTTGGGCACTTGTCATCAGGGCTTCAGTCTGCTTCTTCAGTTGAAGCTGGTTGCTCTGTGTTACTACCAGAATTACTGAATGACTGCTGCACAGACAGGCAGTTCCTAACTGTATGCTGCCCTCTAGTAGTAGTGTGGGGATATGACTTCATCCACACATTTTCTCTGTTTATGAGGCTGGAGCAATCCAGATCTACTCTGGACATTTACTTCATGACTGATTGGTCATTTAATGAAATGTAAATGTGTATATTTTTACATCAGTCACATTATAGAACAGTAGGCTATTAAATGTCTGCTTCTCTCAACTTGTTGACAGCAAAATCTTACATTTAATGACACATTCTGAGGTAGCAGTAGACACATTACTCCATTTATAAAGAGTGAAGTCGCGGTAGTCTGTTGAGAAGGCCCTCATATGCCAACCCTGAAAATCTGTTAAACCACACTGTAATGCTGTTTGATACAGTGAACTATTCAATAACTATCAGTTAGTTTTAGGTGTGTGGTTGAGATTAAATTCGCTTTCAGCTCTTTCGATACAACAGATGGGAAGGCCACTGTGTTGCTGATTGGCTGGTTGGTAATAAAACTCTGGAGATAAACTGTGACCCCACCACAAATCAGGAAACAAAAGCCTCAAACCCAAAGATTCACACTTGTCCAGCCTTCGGAAACCACAGCCCTGTTGATGTTGTATGTTACACTTAAATCAGTGATGCAGATAACAGGTGTTTCCATCATCCCACCTCCTTTAATAGTCCTTTAATTCATAAGGTGAATAATACTAGCAAAACTCTCCTGCTCGTCTCTCTCTGTTTCACTAAGTAGGTGGGTATATCTGACAGTTCTGTTACAGTTAATAATAACATTATTAACACCTTTTTAACAATTACATTCATATCTTAATCACTGTTTCGTTTTTTCTACTTTCTACTGCAACAAACAGAGGTAAGGCAATGATAAACAATAATAACAATATTGTCTGCTGCACTTACTTCATGATCTACGTAGATGGCCATATCTGACTGAGGTATGGTAATACTTAATAACAACATAAGTCTATTTATCACCTCTTCAATAAGTCATAATTATTCTTTATTTATTTATTTTAACATAGCCTACTGTAGATAGCTAGACTTCGGACTGATTGTTGGCACATAAATAAATAGATAAATATGGATATGTGAAAAGAGGATCCTGATGTTTTTACTGACAGGAAATAGCGAAAGTTTGAAGTATGAAACAGGTTATTTTTTATAAAACTTCCCTACTGCAGCTTTAAATGAAAATTGGAGGGAAAAAGTATCTAAACCCACAAAACAATGTTTTTAATGAAGGGTTTGTGATTAGTGCAAATGCGGAAGTACGCAGCAGCAAAACCCTCTCGGTTTCCTCGTACGTGCCGGTGCGTGTTGTCGTCACCAGGCCGTCATGTGTTCGCCTCTGTCTCCCTCTTAGTCCGGACAGACTCACAACCTCAGACATGGTTCCGTGAACCGACACATGGCAGCTAGCAGCCATGAACCAAAAAAAACAACTCACCAAAAACTGACGGTGCCTGAGTAGCAGCCTTATTTCGTTTCTTTCGAGATTATTCCAACTCCTGCAATACCCACAGCTAGCAGCCGGCTGCCGGTCACTGTCAGGGGGAGAGGCGCTCTGAAACCCCCTTCGGTTTTTTTTCTCCGATATTTCGCTTTTTTCCAGTCACTTTTAAGTTTCCGCCTCCTCTAACCGACGCTCAACATGGGTGTTCAAGGTTTCCAAGAGTACATTGAAAAGCACTGCCCCAGCGCTGTGGTGCCGGTGGAGCTCCAGAAGCTGGCCCGGGGGAGTATGGTTGGTGGTGGCCGGCTGAGACCCCCTCAGACTCCGTTGAGACTGCTGGTGGACGCCGAGAACTGCCTCCACCGGCTCTACGGAGGCTTCTACACCGACTGGGTCAGCGGGGGCCAGTGGAACCACATGCTGGGCTACCTGGCCGCCCTCTCCAAGGCCTGCTTCAACGGCAACATTGAGCTCCTGGTGTGCTTCAATGGCGCCCTGGAGAAAGGCCGTCTTCACGAGTGGGTCAAGCGGCAGGTGAACGAGAGGCAGACCGCCCAGCAGATCATCAGCCACGTCCAGAACAAGGGCACCCCGCCGCCCAAAGTCTGGTTCCTGCCTCCCGTGTGCATGGCCCACTGCATCCGACTGGCGCTCCTCAGGTTTCGCGTCGGGGTGAGTGAAAGCTCGGCCTGGCAGTGCCTGTTGAGCAGAGCCACTGTGGACCAGACATTAGCAGGCTCTGTGGTTAGCCTGCTAGCTGCCCACCATGTCAGCATCACTGCCAACTTCAACCCATGATAAAAGCTGCTCCCACAGCCGGCCAACTTAATCAGTGTGCCTCTAGCAGTGTTAGCAGAGCCTGCTTTATAATACCTAACTCATTCTGTTTCAGTGGTATTACCTCAGACTGTGAGTGCATGTGATCCACATTGTAATGGGGTTTGATCATTAATAAAAGTCCAAGCAGAGCACTCACTGAACTGTCCCAGTCTTAGACATTAAATTAAATTAAACTATGAATCATTAAAGTCCCTTCCAGTCAGAAATCAGTGTTTCTCCTTGTTCCTACAGTGTGCTGTTTGAATGCTGTCTGTGCAGAGTTTGACTCTAGAAGGATGTTTTCACATTCATCTGCTGAAAGTGGAAAGTTTCTCTGAGCTCATTGAACATCAGATTTTAAGGGGCGGGGCCTACCAGCATGATTTGTGACATCACAAATAGTTAGGGAGTCAGTCCTGGTCCAGTATCAACTTGTACAGTGTGATGTAGAAACTTGAAGCCACCAGTGCACATCCACTGAGAATGGACTTTACAGTGAAGGAGGAGACATCTTGTGTCCAGCAGGGAAACTTTAGAAATCAACAACATTTGCATATTCAGAGATTCTGGAAGTTTTAATGAGGTAGAAGGAGGAGATTGATTTTAATCTGGAAATTGTACTTTTATTGCAGACTGTCTCAGCAGACTATTTTTCTATATGTCTTAATACATGTTTGGAGGGGATCTTTAAGTCATTTGTTTAACAAATTTGCCCCAAATTCACTGCTGTTTGCTGGGTTTCTATGATAGTAAATTGAGAATATTTGGGTTGGTTGGACAAAACAAGCCATCTTTCACTATTTTTGTACACTTATAGACCAGAATGATTAATTGAGACGTAAGTACTTAAATCCCTAAATATTACTAATTCAGGAAAAGTACAAAGTGCAGAAGTTCATGCACATTTTAGCTGAGTAAGTGTGCCTGAACAGTAAAGCTGCATCTCATGGGTATGGGTACAAACAGGTACAGCCCAGTTCACATTTAATGCAGTTTATTTGTCAATATCTCTTAAACTGTGTTTTTCTGGTGTCTTGTAGCATTCATGAAGTCAAGGCATGCAGGAAACTTGTTACCTTTTTATAAAAAGAAATAAATAAATGGTTCCATGCTGTGTGATGCATAGATTTTCAGTTTGGAATTGGATCAGGAATCGCTGGGATTTGATACCCTGAGTTGAGGTATCTGGAGAGTCGGATCGGTGCAAACCAGGTAAAAGTGCGAGTCAGGATCTGTCATTTAAATGAGAAGATATTATCATTGTGACAATGCAGTGATGTATTCTGTATATGGTCTGTATTCATATAAAAGAGCTGTTTTGAGATCAGGCTGTTTCGAAATGTACTCATTAATAACATTTAAAATATGTAACCAGTTATTTCTCTCTGTTTGGATATCCAATCAGCTGTGTAGGGCTTATTCACGAAGAGCAGCTCAAACAAACCTGCACCTGCTATGTAATCCTGTGTCTGTATCCTTTTCTCAAGTGCCTAATACGCCATGTCTGTGTAAGAGGTTTATTTTGAGGCTTTAGCATCTAAAGCCTGATCCTTGTCTTGGCCACTCCTCAGGTTGTCCAGAGCATCGAGGACCACCACCTGGAAGTGATAGCCTTGTGCAGGGAAAACGGCTTTCATGGCCTGGTGGCCTACGACTCGGACTACGCCCTGTGCAACATCCCGTACTACTTCAGCGCGCATGCCCTCAAACTGAGCCGCAACGGCAAAAGCCTCACCACCAGCCAGTACCTGATGCACGAAGTGGCACGGCAGCTTGATCTCAACCCAAATCGTTTTGTCATTTTTGCATCACTTTTAGGTTGGTGTCATACTGCGGGACAATGGCAGTGGGACTGATAGTTTAGGTGAGGCTGACTAACACAAGTATGCTGCTGTTGTGTGTTTTTAAAGGAAATCACATACTGCCTGATGAAGACTTGGCTGCCTTTCACTGGAGCTTACTTGGTCCAGAGCATCCATTAGCATCTTTGAAGGTAAAAACTGTATTGATCATTTCTGTATAATCCCATGAACTGCTAACCCAGTGTGGATATTGTTAGTGAAGGACAGTCTGAGTGGAACTGTGGTTCAGCACACACTGCTCTTGAATATTCAGGTGACTGCATTGCTCCTGCAGTGGGCCTGAATGAATGAATTTCTCAGATAACCATCATTATCAGTAAGTACAAAAGCATCTTTAAAGAACACTCAAAGATCTGTTTACTCGTGATTCACTTTGACAGCAAATTTTCATTTAGTTTCAGTCATCGTCTTTTGTCTATTTCACTTCCGACCACTCAGACACTTTTACACTACATGTCACATTCACCAATTCACACACTGATGGCAGAGGCTGCCATGCAAGTTGCCAACTGCTCATCAGAAACTAGGGCTGCATCATTATGGCTTAAGGTTTTTATGCACTTGCGCCGTTATTGTGTATTGACACCTTGTTAATACTACAGGTCCCAGAATACTGGAGGAAGTATTGTCGTTTTGATAAACTAATCAGACAGTAATTGGCCTTTTTCCATACTTTTTTGAGCGACTGTGATCATATTTTAGGCTGCACACAGCATGAGTCTGTGAACAGCGACAGTGAGTATGTTTGGTAACCTGGCAGCGAGGTTGGCGGTGTGCACTGTGTCGCCTGCAGCTCTTCCTCTAGCAGCTCACTGTGGCTGCTCCTTCTTATGTCATTACTCCCTGACAGAGTAATACACAACAACAATAGCAGCCAAGCTAACTGACACTTTGCACTTCCTGTGACTAGCTTTCTTCAAAATAAAAGTCAACTCTTGTTTTGGCAGTTAAATGCTTTTAATGTGAAGCTGCATCAATAGGAAATGTTCTCTATTTGTTAGCAGTAACTTAATGCTGGTTTTTTTTCTGGGAATAAAAGTATCCAGGCTGCAGCTGCAGGGTGTGTGTGCAACGACAGGACAGCTCCCCAAAAGTGAAATCAGAATGTCTGAATCACCCGTGGTGGCTGTCTGTTTAGGAAGCGCTTGATTAGATATGAGTTTTCTGTGATCTGAGCACGTATTTTAAATGACGATATCGTAGACGATAACGTTCACTTAACTGAGGGAAGCCAAAATTGAGATTGCGATTAATATTGGATAAATTGTGCAGCCCTATCAGAAACAGAAAAGAATTAATTCACAGACCTTCATACACCGATTGCACAGCATTTGGAGCAGTTTGGGGTTCGGTATCTTGCCCAAAGACACTTCCAACCTTCTGATTAGGTGACAACCAACCCTACCTCCTGAGTAGGGGTGGGCGATATGGGCAAAAAATAATATCTCAATATTTTTGGGGATTTTGGCGATAACGAGTTAGGGCTTGTGTCCACCAAATGCGTTTCTAGCATTTTCCGAGCGCCCCCAGCGGTGTTAAAAGTTGAACAGATTTAAACCTTGAAGCACTCTGAGCGCTGCGCTAAAAAAATGTTTCCGCTGACATCTTTTTACCACTGAAGGCGCTTAGCGCTCCGAACGCTGAAGCTCATAGGATTTGTATCGGCACTAAATCATCTGAAGTACCGGTAGCTTCAGGGACTGGAGGTGCTTGCATTTTCTCTCTACCATCACAACGTGCTGCTAAACTGTTGCAAGGAGGATGCTAGCGAGAGGTCACGTTATCACGTCATGTGATCACGTCAGCCCACTAGTCGTGTGACTGAATCCTGCCATGCTGTAGAGAGTGTTGCCGCACCCAGTGGATGTGAGGAGTTTCTGCGTGCTTTTCAATATTTTTGGCGAAGTAATTTAAATACTGGATAATGGAAATTTGCACATCTTCAAAACAACAATGACAATATTATCGCAAACGATACATATCGCCCACCCCTACTCCTGAGCCACAGCTCTTTCCACCAACAGGGAACCAGCTTCATTCAAGCACCTAGTTTTGAACCGTTTTGACCAAAAATAAATTGGAGAAGTTGGTTCTGGCACCAAAAAATACAACCAAAGGAACCAAAGTGTGCGTGTCATATTCTACAGGTTATTGTGCGTAGTGCAGCGCCGTCTGTTGATGATGCATCTGATTACAACAATTCCATTCAAAACTGGTGGAAACGTAGGCTGGTTTGCTTGATAGCTCCAAGGTTCCAAGAATAAACAGGAAAAAACGGTAAGGTTAAGGTTGTCTAGGCATGGACAAGTAATAACTTTAATCTTTAAATTCACTTTAATGTACGTTTTAGGTTTTCTTTGCTGATTCCTACTCTTTCATTGAACACTCAGTCTAGAAGTCGACATGCTTGCTCATGCATATTTCAGTGAAAGGAATGTCCTTGCTCATAAACCTATCGGTAGCTTTAGTGCGGTTTTAAAGCAGAATTGCAAACATCACCGCTTGTTGGTGATAATTGATGGCTAAAAATCATCTGACAAAAGTTGTAGTTGGACGACAAATCGATCTGGAAATGTTCATGCATCTTCCTGGAAAAGGAGACTGAATTTTAGTGCTGCTGTGTTGCCAAAGTTTTAAGTAAGGAGAGCACCAAGCAAGGCATAGTGATGTGGCCAAATTTCCATTCATGGCCAGTGAAGTACAGCTTGCAGAAACTGGATATTCATAGATTGGTGAATGGTTGAGTCAAACAGTTGCATGGCAGCAGTGGCAGACAGTTTTAGGACACCATGTGTAAATGGTTCAGCTGTTGTTTTTTTAAATGACTAGCTGTGATTAAACAGAAAGCCTTCTGGTTCACATGTGCACCACCATACTGTCACATTACATTCCACTGACGAATGACACTCACGGGACACACTACTCGCATGTCTTAACTGGTTTCCACTGGTTTCCCTTAAAGGTACAGTATTAATATCATGTTCTAGCTATACAGTCATTAACTTGCTCTAGTACTAGAGCAAGTAGAGTCTAGTCTAGAGTACTCTAGAGACTACAGTGACCACAAAAAAACGTGAAAGGCTCTGTCCAGAGCCAGTGTTGAACATGACGGTTCAACATGGTGGACTCCGTAGAAGAGGAGCTGCTCCCTCCCTAGATAAAAACAGTTCATTCTAAGCTAACAAAAACACAATGATTCTTATATTCAGTTGATTATACTCTAATGAAAACACATCTATGAATATTATATTCCATTTCTCACAATAGATCCTCCTAAATGTTACACACTGGACCTTTAAAAAAGAAAAATGTGCAACAAAATTGGATAAAGATAAACAAATGCATATTGTTGTTACATGAAAATCTCGATTTGTTGATTCCAACCTGATACTTAAAAATCCCAGCAAAGAAAAAATAATTTGTATCACATGTATGCTGCAAAACTGCACTATACATTCATATTTGATGAAATCATAAAGTTGTGCTCTGCTCTGTACAAATGGTCTCGTCCTGCAGCTGCTGTCACTTGAGCAATAGTTTACTTATTAATCTCTCAGTGGGTAAGGCCTGAGGCAATACATTTATGGCTGTTTATTCTCTGTCCATAAGTCAACCACACCTGCTAAGTGTAGCTTTGGATACACACTGGTCAGGATACTCAGTAATAACTGGAAAGGAATTGGAGAGCTATAGAGAAAAAGAAATGCAGTTCATTTGAAATTGTGGCTCACTGGCAGAAATATGGCCAGAACACTCAAAGACATAGTTCCAGTATCTCAAACACATCTTCAACATTTATCAACAATCATACTGCATACTGTATTGTACTGCAAAATCCCTGTTATATTCTTTAGCAGACCACTACAGAGCTGCATCATGCTGTATTCACTAAACCATGCCCACTTTTCAGTGATCCAATCAGATCTTAACAATTAGGATTTAAATCCTGTCTTAGATATATGTCACATTACTGAAGATAAAGACACACTAACTGTACTTTCACTCTAACTTTAAAGTAGCTCTGTGAAGTTCTCTTGGAAACAAAAAACTCAGTGTAATGCAATGCAAAGTTATTTTAACTCAAAAAATGATTTAAACTAAACAAAATTAATTTAGTCAGTTCAAACTATTTTTGAGTTGAATTCATTTATCTGGTTTTACACTGCACCAAAACGGAGTTGTGAAGTGGGAGAGGGTATTTTGGGTGCATTATTTATGTTTACATAAACAATGATGTGTGACTCACAGCTCACAGCGCCATTACTGCTCTTGGATGGAAATTCTCCCAGTGGAATCATCAGTACAAAAGATTAACAGCTGCATTAAGAAATGTCTACTTTGATAAAAAAGTAAAAGGTATGTAAACATTTTAGGGGAGATGTTCACTGTGACTAAAGATCATTGTGCTTAGGAATCTGCAGCTTAAACTCAATTTTTGAATAATTCTGTAACCACTGCAACGACTTTCGTTCTCAACTGCAATTGCTTCTGACTCACCTCCTCTCTGTGGCAATGAAGACCGATTGTTCATGGGTATTGTAGTATTTTGACCCCGCCAAATTGCCTATTCAGAGGCTGCGGATTGAGGCAGCCCTGTGTATTATTTATGATGTATCAGTTTGTGTGATTTACCAAACTCTAAGCAAAATGCAGCATTTTAAACAGCAACAGGATGGTGCTGTACACACTGACCACTGGAGAGCTTCATTTGAAATAGATGTTTTTCATAGCAGCCATTAAACAGTAGGGTAAACACAGGTGTGTAATGACTCTAATTAAGGTTCTGTTCTGTGTAGTGTAACAGAGCCTTTGCAATGGAACCTTGATTAGTATCATTGGTGACCGCTGTGTGTACCCTTATATTTCATGTCAAAATGGCTGCTGTAAAAAAAGGTCTATTGTTCCCTCAAACCTAGTTCCCCAAAAAGTAGTTGACCTGTTGTGAACTCTGTTGCGTTATCGTTCCTCAGGTGCGTGCCCACCAGCTTGTGCTCCCACCCTGTGATGTTGTAATCAAGGCTGTGGCCGACTACGTCCGCAACATCCTAGACATCACCGACCTGGAGGCCATCGCTAAGGACATCTTCAAGCATTCACAGGTATGAAAAGTTGAGCTGCACTTGCTGTAAAAACTGCACATCCATTGTTGTCTGCTGGAGAAGCGATGGATACAATGCAGATTCTTTTTGAATGAATCTGTAACAGTGATTGTGTAGCAGAGGTTTTCAGGTATTTTCAGGTGACCCATTTCTTCTAAAAGTGCCAAAAACAGTGTTTTTGTATGAAAGCTATTGTATATTTTGTCTATTTTTAAGTTCTGTTGCGAAACATTTCCATAAATGATAAAGAATTTAAAGGGGACCTGTTTGCCTGTCCTTAGTTTATGTCACATACGGTTACATTGTTGGATGTTTATATTAAACCAGGCCGTAGTGTAAACGTATGTAAAAGTAATCCCTGTGAGCAAAATGTGGGCCTAGCAGAGATTTCTTTACATGGTCATCTGCTCAGGAGTCAGGACTAAAACCTTTTCAAGTTGAAAAGGAAAGTTAGCTCAAGGCACGCTCCCAGCAGCCCAAACCTTCTGTAATACTAGCCACAGCTAGTGAGCGGCTAAAGTAGCTAACAGCTACCTACAAGTAGCTATGGCTATATTGCCATCCTAAAACTCCATAAATCACTGAAAGTTAAAGCAGAGCAGCTGGAACACAGAGGGGAGACCAGAAAAAAATCCTCCATTAAAATATGATCCTGTTTTACCAAAATCAGTTGTAAAAGTTGAGTGCTTTTGTACAGTAATCAGTGAGACCTGGTCCTGTTCCTGCAGCGTTTATTTGTAGTCTGATGAACTGTAAATTCATCAAATTCAATGCCCCGTACCGCTGTTCTCCAAGTTACTTACGCTGTCATTATGTTGAAAGCGCACCGGGAGAGGACAGCGGTGTTAACCAGCGCTCAGTGCTGCCCCTCGGCAGGCTTCCGCGAAGTTGACCAATCAGAAAAAAATGAAGGGCCAGTAAAAGATACATAAAGATGTTTTTGAAGAGCGAATTGTGCAAAGCTACTCCAATGGAGCCTCAGACTAAGAATACAGAGCTGGAAATGATCATAATCGGTCCCCTTTAATGAATGTATTGTATGGATAATGGTGCAGCAATAAAACATCTGTGACCGACTCCACTGGAGTCTAGATCCTGAAAATAAGATTCCATTTGGAGCATCAGAGGGGCTGTAGAGGAGCTGTATTGCTAAAATGTAGTTAATAGATAAGATTCAGATTCATTCTTTATTGTCCTCAGTGGAGGTTCACAGTCTGTACAAAGAGCACCTTCAGCATGAGTTCTACACACAAACTACACATAGTACACATATACAGACAATATACACATATCTACACATGTAACACAGGAGTGACATCGTTAACTTGTCTGTGAGTTTAACGCTCTTATAGCGCAGGGTACAAAACCTTTTGTAGAGCAGCTGTCTGTATCTACGGCCAGATGGGAGAAGGGTGAAGCATGAGTTGAGAGGGTGGCTGGGATTGTGTACTATGGTCTACGAGCAGTGGCAGTATTAATGAGGGCTGGCTAATGTTATAAACAGTTGGTCTAGACCTGCTCTATTTGAAAAGTGTCCTGAGATAACTTCTGTTATGAATTGGCGCTATACAAATAAAATTGAATTGAATTGGTAGGTTGGGAGTGGGAAGACCTATTATTTTGAAGTGCTAGTGATTTGATGGTGAATGGACTCACAGAAGACGTAGACGAGAGGACAAACAAAGACGTGACTTGACAGACGCGCACCGGTATCTCGACGTGGAGTGTACAGACTGTGTTGTCGCAGCAGAGCATGCGCCAATGAGCAAGATCAACAGGTTGCACATTTAAGATTTAGCTGCTATAACGTGGTTAGAAAGCAACCTGACCTTTGTTTATTCACAGACCTTTCTAGAGAATGGGATTAAAGAATTCCCTTTATAAGTGAATTAGGAGAGAGTTATGACCTTAATTTTCGAGCTTTTTAAATTCACATTCAGAAACAACCTTTGACAACAAACATTTTGTACAAACCACTGAGCTGGACTAACTCAAATATTGGATTTAACAAGGAGAGTAAACCTCATCTCATCTGAATGAGCTGTTAAAAGTAGAACTCAGAATATAGTTATAAACACAGCACTGCAGGATCATTTTACACATAAGAAAAAGAAAAAAGATCAAATAATACAAGGTTTAATTAAAATGTTTTTAAATAAATAAAAACCAAGTAAAGTCTGTGTGGGAAACTGTGATATAACTTTTCTGTAGAATAGAATAAATGTGTCATCTTACTGGCCTTTGTAAAAACCACCAAAACTATTTAGAACAAATATCAGAGCACCCTTAGAAACATGCATCGCAACAATGAGTCATAGATGTGCCGCTCTGATGGGGGAAAACCGATAACATGGCTTGATCACCACTTCCCGTTAGTTTGCGGCTTGTATTTTACCCACCTAAAATATCAATAGATTAGATTCTCCATTGTACCTAAAAATAGCTGCAAAAACACATCCCGTATTTACAGTTATTGTGTTATTGTGCACAGGAACCGAAGGAATGGTGGCTGAAAAGTAAATTACCATCACACATAAAGCGAGCAGGGAAAGGTTGTGTACTGGCATATAACAGCTCATTTTGTTGGGCTTTGGGAAGCAGCAAAAATAATTGAAGTCTTTGTCTAGAATGTAAAGCAATGGCTCCACCTTCACTCTTTAACTGAAGAGGAGCTGCAAGGACAGAACAGAAAACAGCAGTTCTGTCCAAAGGTTGTTAACTGGCATGTTTTTCTTCTGTGTATTAATAATCTCATTTAATGTTCTTCTTTCAGTCGTGCACTGATGACAAAGTCATCCGCTTCAAGAAGGCGGTGGAGTATTACTCAGTGGCCAGCAAACCCCCCCACTTCCCTCCACACTTAGGTGGGTTTCTGTCTAATCACACTGTACGGTCTCGCAGTCTGGGCTTGAATACTATTGGAGGTGTTCGTCCGCAGAGTAGCTGCAGGGTCTCACGTTTGCTCTTCATTGTCTGACCTGGCTGCTACGTGTGTTAGATAAATGTTAAACAAAGACAGATTGAGAACTATCAGATCCCTTCTTGTCCCATCTTCCTAAATGTGCATCAGGTGCTCCACTCTTTAGAAAGTGGACAGTGTTTTTTAGAGGGCTGTCAGACTACTGGCCATGCCCATACAAAACTCTACAGCATATATTCCATAGCTTTCTAACAGGGGACATTTTGACTGGTCAAACACAGGTGTTTTTCATTAAATTATGGCTGAATTCGGACTTGTTAACGTTAACACCTGTGCTTTTCCTTCTATGATGGACATTTCGCTCACAATCACACACTTTGGCCTGTCAAACTATTTAGAAAATTCTAAATCCAAAGGGCACTTTGTTAGGGTTGGCTGTGGTGGGGAAAAGTTTACAGATCCAAAATGAGAAGATGGGATAGAGGGAAATATAATTCAGCAATGATGCTGCAGGGCTACGTAAATGCAGAGTCCTCTGTTTGCCTTTTGTCGACTGATTAGTAACAAGAAATCTCGAACTAGGTTTGAGGTCATTTAAAAAAACTCAGTATTACAGTCTGTCCCCCCGAGAGCACTGACAAGTAGGGTTGCAATGCTATACCTATACCGTGGTATACTGTGGTATGAAAATGGACAATTACCATACTGTGTACATTTGCTTATCTACCATAGTGAATTGTACCTTATTAGTTTTATGAAAAATGTATAGGACCTACTATTTTGTTATTATAAAGCATTTGTTCAACCAAAAAACATCACAGTCACTGTGCAGCAGTATATGATGTAAACCATGTTTTCTGAGATGGTTATTGTACAATGAAAATCTCATACTGTTGCAACTCTACTGACAGGTTGGTTTTTACACTGTAAAATGTTTCGCTCATGTACATTATCTTGTAAAACAAAGGGATCCATTTCAAGATTTTTATGCTATTTGTTTATTCCAATCAGCCACAGAATTCCAGTATCAGTCAAGCAAATCTTGAACTATATTGAGTCTAAAATGTATAAGCAAGTATTCAAATTTTTTTTTCCTTTATAAACTAACCTCCATGTTTCAAAGATCCCAGATTCCCAGTAAAAAAAAAATACCACCATAACTTTGCTGTCCTCATTGATGACTCCCGCTCTGTGCAGCAGGTACAGTCTCCCCTGAGTCTTTATGCTGAAATCTTTTGTTTCTGTCTCACAGTCAGACCAAAACACATGGGAGTGCCTGCTGCAGTGCCATCTCCAAAAATGCTCAACATTCCACAGGTGCCGCTGCCTGTAAATCCTGAGGTGAGCCTGTGAAATCCACTGTACTCCACAGTGAAATACTGCTACTTCAGCTACATGAGAATGACGCGTTTGGTTTTTTCCTCAACGTCTTCAGGTTCAGCACTCGTGCCCGGAGCCTCTAGTGGAGCGCAGCCTGGCCCTGGACTCCGTGGAGAGAGGCCCCGTGGAGCAGAACAGCTTCAGCAACATTCCTCATGAAGGGAAGCACACACCGCTGTATGAGAGGTCCTCTCCCATCAACCCGGGCCAGGCCGGCAGCCCCAACCACACAGAGGCCGCTTTCTTCAACGCCTCCTCAACATCCTCCTCCTCGGAGAATGAAGAGAGCTCGGGCACAACTGCCAAGTGAGTTCAACACGACACTCACTCTCTGTCTGCTTTATTACGGCAGTTTCTCCCTATTTGTTGTTATCAACGTCCTTACCTGCAGAAGGCTGCGCAAGATAAACACAATCTCATATCCCCATCAAGCAACCTCAGTGGCTGGTACATGCAGCCGACATGGAAGTGCCAAAAACTGCACTTCCACTAAAAGCTACTTGAGGCTGGCTCCAGAACTGAGTCAATCTTCATCAGGCCCCATTTTAAAATGCTCAACTTTCCAGCAGACACACACATTTTTACAGCCTGGTACAAATTCCCTGTTCATGAAAACTATACGAGTGGTGAATTTGTTTATAGCTCACCCACTTAAATTATACTAAGACTTAAAGTTATGAATAATTAAGGGTGCGGCCGCTTTATTAAGTAACCAGGCTTTATTCAGCCTCAGCTCCACCCACACTCCATGTCTTTACCCATTTCTATATTAGCCGGGAGCCGGCAGAGTCAGGACTGCCAAAATGGCGTCGGCCAGAGCCGACCACATTGGGCTTCACAACGGCTCTTCAGAAACCTATGGGTGACATCACAGAAGCTATGTCCTTTTTTTCACAGGTTATCTGTCTAATGTACTACTGTCAGGATATAGTGAAAGTTTCAGCAAATACAAGAAAAAGATGTTATGTTGCATCAATTTTGCAATGGTTAAATATTTGGAGCACAAATTGCACGCAAATACCGTACGTTTTATGCAGCAGCACGGACAGTGAGCAGATGTTCAGCTCTGTTTCTCACATCTTGGATTAGAAGAGAAATGGACTGAGCTGCAACAAGGCAGAGATGATTATCTTTGCAGAAAGCTTTGTTTCCCTGGCACAAAAGGGCGATCAAATAACAAAGAGAAAGACACCGGCTATCAACCAAAATGTTATTTTAAACATCAGTATCGGTGCATCCATAATTAGGAGATATCACTTGTCACTTGTTTTCCAGAAAATAATTTTAGTCCTCTTATTTCCTGTCAGTATTGTGTCCAGACATTGTCCCCAAAAACTTTGACACTCTTGAAACATTAAAGCACTAGTACACTTGTGGAGTGGAGTTAATGGCAACTTCTAAGTGTCTTGAGCTTATGTTTGGTAAAATTGTTTTGTAGCACACAATGATTGTACTGCAGTGCTGTATCTAGTCTCTACTGGCAACAGTGATATTATTTATTTCTCAGTATGTGGTTTCTATTTTCCCAAAGAGGCTTGATTTTAGTCTGTCTCTCTAAACACACGTCGGACAGTTTCTTTTGTTTGTTTATTGTAACTCCGACATAAGTCCTTCGTTTGGTTGAATCAAGTCTCAACAACAGAAGTAGAGAGCACCTTGTACTATTGTACTAATGCTTCTGATCACAGTACATCTGACATTAAGTAGCTCCCAGGATGTGATGTGCCTGTGCCTTATGTGTCAATGCTAATGAAGAAACAAGCACTGCAGGTTTCTTTACTCCGTCACTAAGCTTTAAATCATATATATGCTGGTTTTTTTCAGTCATGTTAGTGACCATAAGGGAGGATGGGAGAAAAACGGACATACTCCACATTCTGCAAACACACCGGAGGGAGACCTGGAGGACCAAATAAAAGTAAGTCAAACATCAGAAACACATTAGACTTCATCAGACATCTCGCCAGGTAGCTAAAGCGAAGCCGCCGTGTCCCGTCCGTCTGCAGGCTGACCTCTGTGTGACCTTCACTGTGAGCCCGGGGTCGCAGGCTGGAGGTCTCCACAGCCTGAATGCCCAGATCCCCTCTCTGCTCTCCATGCCCACCAGGAACCACATGGACATCACCATCCCACCTCTCCCCGCCGTGGCCCCCGAGGTCCTGCGGGTGGCCGAGCACAGGCACAAGAAGGGCCTTATGTACCCTTACATCTACCACGCTCTCACTAAGGTCAGAGGGACGGACTCAGATAGACTGATGGCTTTTATTTTGTAATTACAGCCAGTGTTACATTACAAGAAGTAATTCTAGGCACCCATTCTAGGCACTGTACGTGTGTGTCTGAAGCATATATAAAGTGTTTGTTAAATTCTGAATTGCAGGGAGAGATTAAGCTATCAGTCACCATTGAAGATGAAGCAAACAAAGACCTGCCTTCAGCAGTGCAGCTGTTTCGGCCGATCCGTCAATATGTTTACGGAGTGCTCTTCAGTCTGGCTGAGGCCAGGAAGAAGGCTGAGAGACTTGCCATGAGGAAGAACTGCCTCCCTGAATGTGAGTCCTGTGCTTAGAAAGCTCCTTTATGTCACGGTGTGATTTCCCCTGCTGTGGTTTTTATCAAGTGTCTCAGAGGAAGAAGTTAGTTCCAACTGGCCAAAGATTCTCAGTGATGCATTTTAGTGTTCTATCAGTGTAGGAAATTAGTCATCAGAGGTGACCTGTTAAGCCTTGGTCACACTACCAGACTTTCAAAGTACTGCTGTTAGAAACTGATTAAAATAAGCTGATAATTGGCCTAAACAGCCATTGTCAGTTATTTACCATTTATCAAACTAAATAACTAACAGCAGCCAGTGTCAGACATTATCATATATAACAGTTACCTAGTGTATTTGTAGTGGTAACAAAAGGTTAAAAATTATAACATACAATGTAATATAATGTACACACACGTTACTCTGGAACCACAAGCTAAAGGTTGTTATTTGTTGTCAGTCTTCTTGTCAATTTGCCATCAATATAATCCATAAAAGGAAAGGAAAATGAACACAAAGAATTTTCTAGCAGTCTAAATATGTCTAAGTATGTTCTGCTAAACATCTGACTTTTTCTTCAGTTCAGACACATTCTTGCTGAGAGAGAGTTTTTCTCTGCCTGTCCTCTCACTGTCTACTCTGGCACACACACACACACACACACACACACACACACACACACACACACACACACACACACACACACACACACACACACACACCAGATTTCCAACACTGATTCTGTCACATCAAAAACTTCTGCTGTCGGGAAACTCGACTCTGATCACTGGTCCAGCTCTTCAGATGTTGTCATTCATTTCTCCACCATTCAGTGGGAAGCTGTATAAAAAGAACTTGCATTTATACAAATCATGTGGTTGTTTGTTCATTCATTCAGTAATATTATGGATGGCAGAAATATATTTGCATTGTCACGTCACTGAGTGCAAATCATTTCCCCCACCTGTAAGGGGAGCGGTGTTGGACAATACATGTAAGATGCAGCACTAATTACGGTTTGATCACCGGGCACATCTGCGTTGATCGGCGCTGATTGCAACCGTTGTAGACCGTGCTTGTTATTCCACCAGCTCTTGCTGTGGTCCGCTTAAAATATGCACCTAGTCTTATTTTTTAGACAGAAACTGTGTCAAGCTGCATTGAGGAGATCAAGCAGACTCCTGATCGTAAAAACAGACAATGAAACAAACAAAACAATTTAGCTACATAACTACTTAAGGCAGCAATAAGGAACTTTCATTCTTTGTTGATTCTGGCCGCCCCTGTGGACTAAAGTGGTAGTGTTTGTACCTTGTTCTGCCTTGTTTCATTGAGTTTGAGGGTAATCCAACCCAGAGGGGAGCATCAAGAATAACTATATAGAAAAAGCCAATAGAACAAGTCAATAAAATAGGGCAGGTAAAACGCACCGCATCTGAAACCCTCCTGGTGGGGTATGAGGCTGTGCGGAGGACAGAACAAAACAGCGTAGCAGACACAACATCATAGAGCCGTGCCCGTGGGAATTATAGAACAATGTGACTGGATAGGGCTGACTAAGATATGTCCCACCAAGATATGGCAGCTTAGTCAGATCACCATTTAAAGTTGCATAATACATCTATTGTTTTAAGCCACAAAAGTAGCATCAGGGAATACTTTATTGTAGCTGAATGGAAATGGATTACTGGTAAATATTATGAGATTCAGATATTTATTCATTTGGAAATAACTAAGGATATTTTTTTTATTTATTAATTTGCTGATTCATTTCTCAATTAATTCACTTGCAGTGATTCATTTGGAGTTTATTTTTCGCAAGCGGAATTCTCATATCTCCATGCATACATGACATCACCTATTAATGATCACATGTACATTGTTGCTGTGGTTGATAAATGCATGCACAGTGATGTTCGTTGTACGTGCAGCGCTCGCTAACTTTATAGAGAATTAATACGATTACTTTTCTGTAAAATAAAATAAATTCTACTTGATTCAAACTGTTAGTTGTGACTTGGACTGTGGCCACATTAATGTTACGATTAGAGGAAAACTGTAGTAAACTGTAGTCAATTAGCCCAAAACTGCAGCTTATATGACCGTTTGTAAGCAAGTGCTGTCCTGTCTTGTCAAAAAATATTCCTGGGAAGGTCCTGGAAAATTATTTGTTAAAAAGGGTGGAACCCTGATCATGTTCTTCCATTAATGCAGCTGAGTGCAGCAAAACAGCAGCATGTCACTCTCTATGGGTAATTCTTTCCCTTGCTGAAAGTAAATGTAGGACGTCTCATAACCAACTCAAGTCCCCCTCCTATCTGAGGTAAAAGTCCTTGGTTAACTTTGAAGGCAGTTTCTAGGAGAGATCCTGTGATGCTTGATCAATACAAACCCTGATCTCTTTCAAATGTTGTTCCCCAGATACACATGTAATGGTCAAAGAGTGGGCCGCCTACAAAGGCAAGTCCCCCCACACTCCAGAGCTGGTGGAGGCTCTGCCCTTCAGGGAGTGGACCTGTCCCAACCTGAAGAAGCTGTGGTTGGGGAAGGCTGTGGAGGACAAGAACCGCAGGATGAGAGCGTTCCTGGCCTGCATGCGCTCCGACACTCCGGCCATGCTGAACCCTGCCAATGTCCCCACGCCCCTCTTGGTGCTCTGCTGCGTGCTGCGGTGAGTGGACCGCCGCTATCCAGGACAGACTGTAGGCTTATACACAGATGAAGTCTGTAGATGTCACTGTGTTTGTGAGAAGTAAAGTCAATTGAGAGTGAGGGAGTGAGGATTTATTAAGACAGAGTTGATCAGGTGTTTGTAACACTGTTAACTTTCTGTGTTTTGCTTCAGGTTTATGTTACATTGGCCAGGATTAAGAATTTTGCGTCGTAACGAACTTGACGCTTTCCTAGCCCAAGCACTTTCTCCTAAACTTTATGAGCCTGACCAGCTGCAGGAACTGAAGGTGATTTTGTAGTGTTTGTTATATGAGGAGTGTCGGAGAAACGCACACAAGACATGAATGTCCTGGCCGTAATCTGCCATACTGTCCTATCACTTACTTGGTAACTACTCTGATTAGAGAATTGGCTGACTGCTGTTAGATTTCACATTTCCAGACACTCCTCATATTCTGCAGACAAAGCAACCTGCTCGACAAAACACAGTTTTGTGCGAGCATGTTGTTCCTGAAGCTGTAGCTTTGCACTGAAAGATGTATCTTTGTAGAGCTCTGAGTGACGCAAAGGGGTTCTCGTGTCATGTGTGGATGGTTTATCAACCAAGCTGTAAAACCGCTGGAGCTCTGTTCTCATTCGGCCTTTTGTTAACGTAAACCATCCACACGAGCTGTGTGCTTTGGTCCTTGTGGTCTGTCTGTGTGTAGCTCTGTCTGCTCTCCGCTGTGCCAGAACATCTAGGTTGCGTCTGCTGGCTTTTTGTGTTGGCTGGATTAGGTTGTGTACCGCTGTATTTTGGCAGGCGGGGGTGAATGGGCTGCTTACGCTTGCTCCGTGCTTTGCTTTTCACTTCATTAATCTGAATGCTCAGTGGGGCTATTAAAGGAATATTATATATAATAATATCATTTTTTCTTTCCATGTGGACATTTTATAAGTCTGAATGTTTCTGGTCTACAGATCGACAACCTGGACCCTCGAGGAGTCCAGCTGGCCGCTCTGTTCATGAGCGGAGTGGACATGGCTCTGTTTGCCAACGACGCGTGCGGACAGCCTATACCCTGGGAGCACTGCTGTCCCTGGATGTACTTTGACGGGAAGCTGCTGCAGAGTAAACTTATCAGGGCCAACAGGGAGAAGGCCCAGCTCATTGACCTCTGTGATGGTCAGGTAGCTTCATCCACACCCACCCACCCACCCACACGTCAGCAAAACATGTTCCGACTTTACAAGTTCTGAATGGTCAGACGCTCAAAGGTGGCACAAAAAGCCAGGAAGACCCACACCACCTACATTTTGAAGATGGTTAAAAGAGAAAAGTAATATATCACATGTATGGTCACATCTTAAAGAACCAGTGTGTAGGATTTAGTGGCATCTAGTGGTGAAGTTTTAGATTGTAACAAACTGAACACCTGTGGTGTCTTTATTTGACGACCTGGGAATGAGAGCAAGCTGTGCAGTGTGTAGAAGAATCTACCGTGGCTGCGAAATTTGCGGAAAACGTTAAAGACTGCTATTTGTCCATTCTGAGCTACTGTAGAAACATGGAGGTTTCAACATGGCGGACTTCATGGAAGGCAACCTGTAGATAAAAACGGCTCATTCTAAGGTAAAAAAAACCCCCAAAACACAACAATTCTCATATTCAGGTGATTATACACTAATGAAAACATACCCATGAATATTATATTCTATTTCTGACAACAGATCCTCCTGAATGTTACACACTGGACCTTTTCATTTATCTTACTAGCCCACTAACAATTGATTTTAAATTACTAAAGCTAGTTAACTACCATTTTGCTAACATTAGCTTTCAGATGTAACTAGCTAGCCAATGATTGCTGTTGTCTAATTAGCTAGCATTTTGCTAACATTAGCTAGCTAACTTAAGATGTGACTGTATGTCACTTTTGTCTTTTAACCATCTTCAGCCTATCTGTGCCTAGCAAGTATATAATTAGTTTAGTAAAGGAGAAAGTTTACAGAGGTTCTGACTGACGCTTGCTCAATTGTTACTGGACTACAGAGCAAAAAGGGGCGGGATTTAGGATGGGTCAATTCTGTCTCCTTTGCTTTGCCTTTTTTTTTTTTCATTTGGTCCATTTCCTGTTTTCTCTCTTAACTTTCGGGTTGCTACAGCTGGCTGCATCCCTGTCCTGAACAGTTTACACACTGTGCTATACATTTCTACATGCTATAAATACTTCCTGGATTGTCCTTTTTTGGCATTTTTGCCTTTAATCAGTAGTTGATCACAGACAGGAAACAAGGGGAAAGAGAGAGCGACATACATTCCTGCAGGTTGTTTAAATTCTTTGTCTGATGGATAGTTGGTGGCGGCAGCGTGCCAATAAAAATGTGCCAGCAAAAGGTTAGAGGAAGACCGTTGTTGATGATATAAATAATCCAAATTAATATTTTAAAAAATCAGCTTTGCAAATGTTGTATGAAGAAGGAAATTCATTCAACACACCTTTGTAAGGCCACACAGTGTATAGAGCAACACTGAATGTAAACGCAACTGAGTTTGTTTATAAGAAAGCTCCACACGGCACCTTTAAACATGGGTTTGACCCTCATTCCAAGACTCTTTCTGCTGTGCAGTTGGATCTTTGTTGATCACCTGTTGTCACAGAGCTCATGCGTCATCTTTACAACAGAACTTATCTTTGAAATGTCAACAAGTAGAAGCATCACAAAGTAAATGATGTTTGATACCATAATGATTTGATCAAACAACTCTACATTTCCTTGTCCTTCAGAGCCTCTCCCACAGTACAAACACTGCAGGGAGCTAATGTTCCTTATAGCAAACTTGATTTAGAATGACATTTTCTTCCATGTCTGTAAGTAGAAATACATGTGATGCTCTGTATTTAAAGTTTCTCAAAACATCAAATAACTCTCCAATGGTTCAGATGTTTCCAGTCCAGACAGCAGGACATTTAGACATAAAAAGAAAATCGCCTCATGTTGTAGGTAGCACATACTGTAAAGGTATTTGAGGAATCTCATAGCCTTAAATTGGCCCTTTCTAAGGAACCTTTTGATTCTGTTACAAAGACTTGCTGTGCAGTGCCTCCAACAACCAGAACAGAAACACTACAGAGCAGCCTCACCAAATTCAACCCAAAAACAAACCAAACACTGGCACAAAGTCAATTTCCTTTAATTGTTAATGAGAAATAAAACTGTCATTGTGGAATGCTGTACCTCCTCCTGAACTAAACAGTTCACACATTTTGTTTTGTATCCAGTTCTGCTTGAAATTCACACTGCACACAAATCTCCTTTCTCTTAATGACTGACTTTTCTTTCTCTCTTTTCTTTGAATTTTGTGGAAGTTTTATTGTGAAAAACGTTTCACCTGTGATAGTCCTGCACTGTCACCTGAGTCACCACTAATTAGACAGATGACTGTCAGTCATATGTTTTTGGGAATCAATATTAAATGGAATAACAATAATTGTTCTACTCACAATAAAACTAAAAGTGTGAGTGGTATTCAGGACTAATGTTACCACGGCCAATTGTGCAGCTATTCTGTCTCAGATTAATTCCTGCACTAAAAAAAGGGCAAATAAAATACTCTTCTGAAGTCAAACTTCAGGTTGATCCTCATTTTTTTTTTTTAAACAATTATAACTGGTTATTGGTGTGGACACCAACATTTTTGTCAAAACAAGAAGCAAGAACACTGGCACAGTCTCTTCAGGCAACGAGAAGTTCATATCTGCTCATTGACATACTCTCTGGGTTAATGTTGATTGTAGAAATAATACAGATCAAGTCTGAAAATCACAGATTTCAATCACAATTAAAGCTGCAAGCAGTGTTGGGCGGGACCTCGCACTCCACGCAACTCGGGGCGTGCTGCGGCCGCGCCACGTGCCGTCGTAACACGTGCGGACCACAACATGAAAATCTCACGTAAATGAGCTCAAAATCACCACGCAGCGCTTACTTCCTGTTGCCAGTAGGTGCCGCTATCACTATGTCTGAATATTGTCATGTAGTCCTTTCAGGGCGGGACTCTTATCAAACATGTGAAGTTTCATTGAGATTGGACTGAACACGTACGCTGAAGTTATGAGGACGTGTTCAGGGCGAGACTGTTAGAGAATATATGAAGTTTATTGGAGATTGGACATTGCACACTGAAGTTATGAGTACTGTTTTATGGCGAATCGGCTGGATTTCACTGGCTGTATTGAGTACAGTCACAAAAAACTTTTCATCTAGTTTGTATGACCACAGAATTCAAAATGGCCAACTTTGACGGCACGCCACAGACACGCCCTTAAACGTACAGTCTCAAACATGGACCCCGGAACGCATCTGAACAAGGGGGGGCCATAATTTCAAGTCACGCGGAGGGGGTGGGGGGCATATGCATTGAAACAGACAATATTACTGATGTATTAAATAACGTTGCGGAGCACTTTTTTTTATTCCGACACCACACAGTCACATCTACAGTACACGTATGATGAACACGCACACATGCTTGCTCAGATAAACCCCTCTGATCCCATTCTAACATTCACACACAACAGGCAAAGCCTATTTACACATAAACCCACAGATGAAACTATAGCATACAACAAAGTACATCCAGTCCAGTCCACAACCATAACCAAAACTCATCTTGCTGCCTTGAATCTAAATCAACATCATAGTCATTATCATCACAAGTCAACACTCATATCAGACTGATGTGCAGAGCTGCACACGCGCGACACACACACACACACACACACACACACACACACACACACACACACACGTCGTCGGAGTCCGTGGTGGAGATGGACGCTCACACATGACGTAGTTGATAAACAATGCACACTAATTTCAAATCAAAATGCAGCAGTCAGTGGGAGTTTTTTTATCGGCAGCAGTTGGTGAGAGTGAGTGAAGGTGTGTGGTGACTAGTATTGTTTGGCTCGTAAAAACACAGATACAACTTGGGCTTTTATTCATATAAAATAGTTTGTCAGAGTACAAAAGTTACCCGGGCTGTGGCCCCCCTGGCCCCCCCGGTTCCGCGGTCTATGGTCTCAAATAGCACATCTTTTAATCAGCACCATTTTTTGACCAATTTTGAAGTAGATCCGATAAATTCCCTAGGAGGAGTTCGTTCAAATACAAGGCGAAAAATTCACCGAAAATGACCACGGAATTCAAAATGGCCAACTTTGACGGCACGCCACGGACACGCCCTTCAACGTACATGCACAAATAGGACAACTTTTAATCAGTACCAATTTTAAAGTAAGTCAATTTTAACAAGTTTGTTTTAACGCGAAAAGTGAATGAAAATCAAAATGGCTGACTTCCTGTGGGGTTTGGAGCATGGGTCCAAGAGGCTTTTCTGTAGGTCTCGGCACGTGCCAACTGAGTGTCATACATATCGGGCTGCTTTTTAAAAATCCTGTAGGGGGCGCTACAAACACGACAAACATGATTTTTGGTATATGAGCTACAGGCACCACTCTACACGTGCCCTGTGAATTTCATATTCATAACTATTATGGTCTCCGCAGAGTGATTTACCCTGCAACCAGAGCGCCACCTAGTGGCAGATTGTTGACACATTTATTAGTGGGCCTCAGGGAGCCATGGGCAAGCATCCAACCAAGTTTCATTTTAATCACACGTGCCAATGCTGAGATATAAGCTTCTTCATTTTAAAGAGCGCCACCTTGTGGCGATGGCCTGAAATTGTGCACGATGCCTAAGGAAGACATGGGGAACTATGGACCCAAGCTTGGTGTCAATCAGACATACCAATGTGGAGAAATGGTCCACTTCTTTTTGACGAAAAATTTACAAGAAGTGCTAATTTTATAAACTTATTTTTTGAAAATTCTAAATTCTTAAAATTACTTTTTTGCCAGGGTGGTCCCCAGATGCTATCATACAAAGCGTGTAGGAGGAACACGAAAAAGTAGTTTAAGGACATTTCGCACTCTAATGAAAAAATATTCTAGGCGGAAGTGGGCGTGTTCTATATGGGAAGATTCAGCTCTATTCACCCAACGCGTGGTTATAAGGTTTTTGAATGTGCGACAAACTATGCAGAAGTTATTAGCCTAAACGCACGTTTTATGATAGTAGCGCCACCTAGTGGCCAACCCAAAAGCAACGCAAAGAATATCCAATTTTTCACCAGGCCTGACCACTTTGCCTAATAAAATTGAGTTTTCGTATATGTTCAGGGGGGCAAAAATGCAGTCGAAGGGGCAGAAAAATAATTAAAGCTGCAAGCAGCGTTGGGCGGGACCTCGCACTCCGCGCAACTCGGGCGCCACGCTACGTCACCCCATGCCCAAGCCTTCATCACTGGAAGCTGAGGGAGACCACTCTACATTGTCACACGTTTCAGACACCGTGCAAAAGACTTGCACTTTCATAGTGAGATTCTTCACTGCGAAACTTGTAAATTCAGCATCACGCCACAGACACGCCGTTTGACGCACAGTAAATTTTTGATTAACTTATGATCACCAACATTTCTAGATTGCAGTGATCGAATATGAAGTCAATATGATAAAATCTGTAGGAGTTAGTTAAAATAGAAGTCCTGAAATGCCGAAAATGGCATCACAGTGGCCGACTTTGACGGCAGGCCCCGGACACACCCTTCAACGTAGTCACATAAAGCATGGCGTTCATTCAGCAACATTTTTTAACTGTACTGACCAAATTAGACGTCGAGCCGATTAAAACCTGTAGGAGGAGTTATTTAAAATAGAACCCTGAAATGCCAGAAATGGCATCACAGTGGCCGCCTTTGACAGCACGCCACGGACACGCCCTTCAACATACAGCCACAAATACCTCGGCGTTCAGTCAGCACCATGTTTTGACTGTACTGACCAAATCTGAAGCAGATCCGATAAAACCTGTAGTTGTAGAAGTTAATTGAAATAGAACCCTGAAATGCCAAAAATTACATCACAATTTGACATTCGATTCAAAATGGCCAACTTTGACGGCACGCCACAGACACTCCCTTTAACATACAGTTGCAATTAGCACGGCGTTCATTCAGCAACATTTTTTAACTTTACTGACCAAATTTGCAGTCGAGCCAATAAAACCTGTAGGAGGAGTTAATTAAAATAGAAGCCCTGAAATGCCAAAAATAGCATCACAGTTTGAATTCGATTCAAAATGGCCAACTTTGACGGCACGCCACAGACAAACCCTTCAACGTACAGTCACAAACAGCACTGCTTTCATTCAGCAACATTTTTTGACTGTACTGACCAATTTTGAAGCAGATCTGATAAATTCCCTAGGAGGAGTTCCTTCAAATACAAGCCCAAGAGTGTAAATGACCACAAAATGGCCGCCAAGAGTGAAAATTTAAATGAAAATAGCCGACTGCCTGTGGGTTTTGGGGCATGGGTCCAAGAGGCTTTTTTGTACGTCTCGGCACGTTACACATGCCTACCAAGTTTCATACATATCGGTGAAACGTGGCGCCAAGGCTGCTTTTTTTTTTATCCTGTAGGGGGCGCTACAAATACAACACACATGATTTTTGTTAAGTGAGCTACAGGCACCAGTCTACACGTGTCCTGTTAATTTCATATTCATAACTATTACGTTCTCCGCACAGCTAATTATCTTCCACCAGAGCGCCACCCGGTGGCGGATTGTTGACACCTTTTTTAGGGAGCTTCAGGGAGCCATGGGCAATCATCGTACCAACTTTCGTTTTAATCACAGTTGCCGATGCGAAGATATAAACTTCTTCATTTTAAAGAGTGCCACCTTGTGGCGATGGCCTGAAATTGTGCACGATGCCTAAAGAAGATATAAGGAACTATTGACCCAAGGTTGGTATCAATCAGACATACCAATACGGAGAAATACCCCACATCCTTTTTTGATGAATAATCAACAGGAAGTGCTAATTTTATAACATGCTTATTTTTTGAAATATCAAAATACTTAATATAAAACAGATGCTACGTGCAAAGTTTCGTGCAAATCGGACAAAAGTGCATGGATGGAACACGAAAATGTAGTTTTTGGACATTTCGTTCTGTAGCGGAAAAAAAATCTAGGCGGAAGTGGGCGTGGCCTATATAGGGAGACTCAGCTCCATTCACCGAATGCGTGGATATAAGTGTTTTGAATGTGCGACAAACTATGCGGGAGTTATTAGCCTAAACACATTTTTTTGGTAGTAGCGCCATCTAGTGGCCTACCCTAAAGCAACGCATGGAATATAAACTTTTTCGCCAGGCCTGACCAGTCTGCCAAATAAAATTGACTTTTCGTATATGTTCAGGGGGTCAAAAACACTGCCAACGTTCCTGTATAATAATAATAAACTGAGCAAAAACTAATAAGAATTCCTTGCATTACCATTGGGCCGTGCACTGGTCAGTGCTCAGTCCCTAAATATTCAAGGCCTTTAACATATATCTGATCTGGGATTAAGCTCCTGTACAGTCGAGTGCTTCAGTCAAACCTTATTAAATCATGGCGCTCTGTATCTCCTGTTGCGTGGTAACAATTTACTGTTCAGGACATGATTGGGGTCAGAGACAGTGTTGTTAGCCAGCCTTAATATTATTATGGTAGGCTGATATAGAGAGTTTTTCCAAGAGGTTGGCCTACAATTTCATTTGGTGGAGCAGTTTTGACTTAAAAGTAGTGAACAAATACTTGTACCATGTGGTAGTCCAGTACTGGAGAACAGTGTTTCTTAAATGGGGGTATTCCTACCTGTAGGGGTAATTTAGAGTGCTGCAGGGGGTATGTGAGACTTTTCTGAACATTAATATAAGTCATGAATAATTCCTAAAATAATTATCGTATAATAAGCAGTAAAAATGTAAATATCAGTTTGAGAAACCACATTTCATATTGAGTATTCCCATTGTTCAGTGCAGTGATTAGCTGCTGTAAACTGTCAGCTGCCCTAAAACTGCAAGAATCTGATCTCTGCTGAATAACTGACTAAAGATCCTGCAGAACCCTATGTTTCCCATTAAATTGTAAGTACAACTCATCAAAGCAAATTCAATGCCGTAGTATTGCGTGATGACAAAAAATTGGCCTGCCATGAATTTAGCGATGGATTCTAAACGAGTGTTTTTCCAGTGACAGGGTTGTGCTGTGTTGTACCTCTTAATACAGGATTTGTTTTTATTGACCAATAATGTTTTGCGCTGGTCAGGGGCTGCTTGGCTGAAAATATATTTCAAAGGGGGTATATTAATAATGAAAGTTTGAGAAGCACTGCTGTACACTCATTATCACAGAAAGAGTAAAGGTTCTTGCCCTAGAAGCCGTAAGGCGGAGGAGAAAATCTTTGTGCTGTAGTGAACAGAATCATCAGTTTGCAGCTGATCACGGTCTCTCTCTTCAGACTGAGCTGGTCACCAAGGTGGAGAAGATGCGTCAGAGCATCCTGGAAGGTCTCAACTTCACTCGGCCACCTCATCCTCCTCCGTTCCCCCCGCCGCCTCTTCCACCTCCTCACGGGATGCCTTTCTACCCCCCCACGGGCTCTTTCTACCCCCCACCCCCTATGATGCCTCCTCAGGGGAGAAGTAGAGGGATGCCTGGTGAGTGCAGCCACTAACGGGCCATTTCGTTTTGTGTGTAACTAAACCTTAAATGCTGCTAGCTCCCTTCCTCCCAGCAAATTTCAAAAAGCGTCAGGCTTGGTTGGTTGGGGATGAAAGAACAGCCAATAGCAAAATTCAACTGCAATAGCCGGGTTTCAGCCAGTAGAGGGAGATTGCTATGCATATTTGTAGCACAATATGTAAAATTTAAATACTCTGCACTAAAACGTCGAGATGTAGACCTGAATCAATCAACAGCACCAGTAAATACCAAGATACATGGGCTACAAACAATTATTTAACCTACCTAAAAAAAAAATCTTCATTGTGACAGATTCTGTTTGTGTTCCCTGTGTTGGTGTGAACTAAGCCAGTTCAACACTCACAGCAGAATGGTGTAGCACCACTGATGCACTGATTAATATCCTTTGTTTTCCCTCTCCCTCGAGGACTTCAAGGAATGTCATCGCAGGGTGGGAAGCTGGAGATTGCCGGCACTGTGGTGGGTCAGTGGGCCGGAGCTCGACGCAGCAGAGGAAGAGGAGGCTTCCCTGTCCAGGTGGTGTCTGTTGGTGGAGCAAATAGAGGGTAAGTATAGAGGTAAGATGAGCTGTCTTATGTATTTTCATCTATTCTTTCATTATGATTTATTTGTATCCACGTGGACTTGTTTCTGCCTCCTTTAGTCGACCCAGAGGTGTGATTTCCACACCCGTCATCAGGACGTTTGGTCGAGGAGGCAGGTACCAGCCTCGAGCCTTCAAGAGTCAGGGAGCGTACCTGGTAAGTCAGTGATGAATCTACACAATGCACTTATAATGATCAGAACATACAGCTACAGTTAATTACACAGTGTGAATGTTCCCTACACTTGAATGCTGAAGGTTATATATATGAAATTCAATTCCTACTGGATGCATCCCGCCTCTTGAATGTGGACACATGAGTAAAGGCCATTATCCTATCCTGTGAAAGTCGGAGCACAGGACTAAAAATGTCGGTGTGAAATTAAGGTCAGAGAGGTTGTTGGTTGACCTTAGTTTCAGTGTCACTATTAAAGTGTATCACAGTGGCAGCTTGTTACTGCTAGCATTGGTTTTCATTTTTAGTAGTTGTTTTTTTACTCAGCAGAAAGATGAACCCATGGTTTAAAATGTAATGTCAACCAGACAGATTGAGGTTTTCCCACAGACCCTAAGCCTGTCTGAGCAATCGCACGTCATTTTTAAATAAGTCACAACCTTCATCTTGCAGGGTTGCCCCTAGTGACACTTCCATACTTCCAACATATAAAATAGGCAGGAGTGATGGTCTGTGTAATAAACAATAAAACTGATGAGATAATGTAAGAAGTGATTGACCATGAGAACACCCTCACAATGGTTCTTCATCTCACCGCCTTTGAACGTAGCACCAGGAAGCAAACATCACTCAAGCATTGTGGCTCTTTCTGTAACAGTCCATGTCTAACTGACTCCATAACAAACATGTATGTACAACCAATAACAGGAAAGCCATAAAGCCCCATATATTTTTATTTTAGGGGGAAAAATTCACAAATACTGAATACGGCAGCCGATATAATGAATGTTTGAGCCGGAATGAAAATGGACCTTTTCTGCTCGGAAGGCTGCTTTCTGGAACAGATAATTTTAATAAAGAAGATTTAAGCTGAATATACTTTAACGAGTTAAATAATTGAACATAAATATTGTTGACATTGCTGAGAGCTGCTACTGCTGCTCGCCACAGCAGTGTAGACACCAATACATTACTACAGGCATTTTTCTGCATTATGTAACAAAAACAGTCTTCATATCGACACATATCTGATAGTGTGTGTGTGTGTGTCTGTGTGTCTGTGTGTGTGTCTGTGTGTCCATATCGCCAGACCAGTGTGTCGGTCGGGCCCTATAGGACCTGAATGAGACATCTCAAGTTCTTCATTCATCATCTCGCACCTTAGCGTTAATAATAACAAGGTCATAGTGTTTGTGGTCCATAGATGCTGCTGTGTTGGTTTGTCAAAGTGCCCAGGACAGAATGGATCCATCTCCTGGGAAACATGGACCAGTCAAATTTCATATTTATATATTTTTTATTTGTCTAAATAGCCTTAACAATCCTACTATTATAACCTTTGTAATTTAATGTCCAAATATAAACAAAAAACACGTGGCTGTTATAAATACAGATGCAAATCCCACTGTTCTGGCTGCAACAAATAACGTAAAGCCTACAATGTTGGAACACTTCTTATGAGCCAGGCCACGAGGGGTGGAATATAAATATAAATATATAAACCTTGTATCTCGTATGCCTTTTTAAGGAATGTGGGTTAATCATATCGGTTGTCATTATGCTTCACCAGAGACTGCGTGTTCTACACAAAGATCAAAATACAGCTGTTGCTCTTCTCACAGTTTAATTACAGTGCAACAACAGATTACACAACCATTGTTGCTTTCAGCACGTGATGAGTGGGAACTAAACAGACCCTCAGCAGGTCTTTGTTCTGTTTAAAACCCCTTTATTTTACTGCTGATGAGCTTCTAAATTGCCCTGCAGTCTTTTTGTTTACCAGCCCACATCTGTACGTTGCACGTGATTAACAGAACCCTCGCAGCCGCTGTCACAGTCTACCTGTCACAGTCTTAACTGTCTCTGCCATCAGCTTAAAATCCCTTTTGTCTGTCCTTTTTGTACCAGGGTAAGCCCGCTCATAAGCCTGCTCATACACCTGGACACGATGCAGCGAAGGAGAGAAAGACGCCCAAGCCAGAGGAAAGGAAAGCCTCCCCCGCGCCATGTGACAGCTCAACCGCGGAGAACGGCGTGGAGGACAAAGAGCTGGACCAGCTGAATGGAGACGGAGACGGAGAGGAACACGGGGCTCTCATCCAACCCGAAAGTGCCTTTAGCAGCGACTCCAAGACGTGCAATTCTAATCCTCACTTAAATGCACTAAACGTAGATGGCGGCCGCCATAGAGATGAAGGTCTGGAGGCCGCCGTCTTAAAAACAGAAGAGTAAGCCTATTTTTCTAGAGAGGGTGAAGGATGAAAGATGGAGCCGTGTTAGGATATCTAGAAATTTGGAACGCCTACAGTCGATTTTTCCTGTCAAAGAGGAGAGATAAAATTCGGATCCCTCTCAGTAAACCGCGAGACGTACGACACACTGCTAATTTAAGGAGTCGTTCACTCCCTCGTCACCACGATTTCTACACATTTATGAGATACTTTTCATTAGAAGATTGAAACATTTTAGTTCCTATAGGTTGATATCTTCCAGTACTCGGTGCCATGTGTTCGCCATAGTACGGCTATCAAATTTTGTGTTGTCACGATAACTGCTTAACAGAAACCAAGCGCATAATGAGGAAGCAACACGCCACCACTTTGCGTTGGGTTCATGTTTAAGTAACTGTGTCCGTTTAGTTCAGTCATTTAGCTGTAAGTAACATTTGAAGAAAAGGCTCTGAGAATCCGACGCAGAAGATCTCGTCAAACCGATCCACCCAGCCCGGGTTTCTGGAAACAAACATAGAGCTGTAGTATTACCGCTTCAACAAAAACCTTCTGCATGGTTCGCAGTTTAAGAGGTGTGTAGTTATTCTGCATGTTGTCCTTTTTCCTCCATCTTTTACAAAGTACTGTGCCCATTTGCAAATTTAAAGAAATGGCTGATATCAGCGATAGCCCATAAAGATGTTAACTGTTAGTGACAGATTTGTTCTGACCTTGATTTGTTTGTGATACTGATCTCTGTTGCATTTAATTAAAAAAAAACAGAAGTTATCTCGCCACTTTTGAAATAGTGAATTCACACTATATAGTTCTCTGTTGCTGTTTTCTGCATTTAGTCAAATATCTGAAAAAAAATCCCATAAAAAGCTTAGAATCACCCCTTTTTGTAGCTGAAAGCAACTTGCTCGACCTTCCAATTAAGACTTTAGCCATCATCCGCTAATCAACTTTGAGATTTTCTTTAGTGTCGTTTTTACAGTCGCCCTACTTCTGCACCAGAATCATCATTTAACATTTTAATTCTCCTTTTCATCTTTCATTAGTGATCAGAGAAACAGTGTACTCCCCCCAGTCCCCCCCGCAAGAGCTAAATAGGTTACCTTCTATGTAAGTTGATCAGAGTTTCTTCCTAACTCATGGGTTGTAACAGAATGAACTGCTGTTGGGATTGATTGAGTGTTGATGGATTGTGGCGTGGTGTATTTGAAGGCAACTTAGCTACAATGCTTAATAAAACTATATTCTTTTAGTACAAGTTGTTGTTTGTTTATTTATCCTGCAACAGCATGTAGGCATTAATATTTCACCTTCTTTCTGCTCACTGACTGAATTTCTGCATATTTATATGAGGGCATTCATTTTTAAAAGCAATAGAGTGAGAAAATCTGCTCTAAAACAGGCAAGATTGGGAAATTATGGCTTGTAAGGTTTTGCCTGGAAAGAACATACGAGTGACAAATTAAAACCTGAATGAGTGGAGAAACATTATGGAAGCACGGCATGGTACAGTGAAGCATTGTAGTGTTAGGATGTAGAGGTATCTAGTGGTGAAGTTGCAGATTGCTAAAGTGTGTAGGAGAAACTACAGTGGCTGCAAAGCTCATGAGAAACACACAGCCAGTGTTTGGTTTGTCAAACAAACATTTATTCCTATATTCAGGTGATTATATACTAGTGAAAACATACCTATGAAAATTATATTCCATTTCTGCCAATAGATCCTCCTAAATGTTACACACTGGACCTTTAACATCCAATCATGCTCTGTTGTGTGTATGAAGGCCCAGCTGATTCAGATTTTGTATCAAGATGGTGAAGAGAGGAGAAGATCTGAGTGTGAAAGAAGGCTCATATTGTTGGGGCAAGGATGGCAGGAGCTGAACAGCGACTGAAGTGACCTGCATTTAGATCTGTAAGAAAGACCAGTAAGTAGGGTCGGAACGCTCACATGTAATGTATAATAATGACTCGTTATTTAAAGACACTAAGTCAAAGTATTGAGAAGGTTTCTCATAATGACTGAATCGTTTTTGTCACATTGGCAGAAATGGGCTTCCATACCCGTCTGTATATCTTAAGCTGATCCTTGGATTTAAGAGATGGTTTAGTTAAACCTACAATTATCATGGTTCCGTATTTCAGTAACTATCTTTCCTCAGAGCTTCCAGCCACATCACAGTCTTCATCAGCAGAGGGAGTTTGATCTGTTGGAAGAAAGTGCTACGGATGAAGTAACAGCTAGTGAAATTGCATGCTAACAGCTATCGTCATGACAACCAGGCAAACTCCACTGAAGAGCACTGTGTGATACAGTTTAAAGCTCCAGGGGAGACAACAAGTGGACCTATGATTTGGGATTGTTTCGTCAAACTACTGCTTCCAAGGAGAAGAATGAACTTTTGTGCTTGATATAAATCTGTATTCAACACTTTATTCATCCAAATGGTGGTCTGTTATATTAAACCAAAGTGAATGAAGTCACATTTATTATGGGGAAAATAATTTCTGAGAAGTTAATGCCATTTTAGGTAAAGGTAAAAAACTAAATGTGGTTATTTGTTGATGGCGATTGATCTCTTCATAATCAAAATGCTGTTTTCTATCAGGACCCTAGTAGAAGACTCCTGTCATAGTTTACCTCACCATAATATCACTGCCTATGTTAATAAAAGATGCTAAAGATCTGATGTGGGTGAACTTTGACCTGCAGCACCATTATGACACACATATTAGAGTTTCACAGTTTGATACAAAGCTTTAATACCGCCACAGTTCTGTAGCAAAGGAGTTTGTAGAACAGTCAGATTGCTTTGATTAATCAATTAATCAGTTGAAAAATCATTTCTTCAATATTGTTGTGCCTCTGCAAATGAATGTAATTATGCAAATGAATCTATTGGACTCTAGTTCTTATGATGGAAATGTGTGAATACTACCGTGAAGGCATCATTTTCCACTAACGGATACAGTAATGCTCCATACAGGCCAGTGCCAAACTCCCCCAGCAGAACCCCACCAACCACCAGCCAATCTCTGTAACAGCTTGTTGAGTCTGTAAGAGGAGCGCTTAAAATAACACCACAACTGTATTTATTAAGTCCCTAATATAAAACCATAATATTTTCTGTAGGTTCTACCTCCCCAGGTCACAGTGTAGATGTTGTTTCAGTGATGGAAGCACGGTGTGGATTCTTTCAGCCGATACGATAATTACCTGCTTCTCAGACCGATAAGATCACTCCCATTTTTGTATTTTAACAAGAAGTTCATAAGCTTCAGTTTTTACACACCTGATGACCAGAAAGGCTGAGACATAGTGAGCAACGATGGATGATTGAATATTCCACAGCTCTGATCTACTGTTGTTAACACAGCAACAAACAACAGATCTCACGCTTCAAACATTCATTCATTGTTTCTATAAAGTTCATCAAAGAGCTTCACAAACACACTTTGGCTTTCATACAACAGGAAGTCTATCAGTTGCATAAGAATTCCAAATTATTATTATCAGCCAATAATTGATCTGTCCCAATAATTATCGTTCAATCTAGTTTCAGTTCCTTCTTCACACTGATTCCAGCAGATAATTAACACTTGGTCCCTACTAATTTCATTTAATTTAGTTATATATACATATATATGTGTGTGTGTGTGTATGGTATATACACACGTATAAATGATGCTTGATAATATAATATACTATATATTATAATATACATAATCATACCTTTTATTTATTATTTGGCACTTTTTAAATGCTGTTATTTATAATATCCATATATTATATATGTGTAATTGTAGGGTCAATGTCCAAATATAAAAAAATTAAAACATTATATTTACTGTAAATTATGAGATTTGACAAAAAAATGACGTATGTAATTACATAATGTACTTACTTACAAAACATAATTACATTATATATATATATATATATATATATATATATACACACACACACATATTATAGTTGATAATATACTCTGATATATTGTAATATACATAATCATACGTTTTATTTATTATTTTGCAGTTTTTAAATGCCGTTATTTATTTGGGTTGTTATTATTATTATTATTATTATAGGTCTATTAAATAATGATGTAATAATAGCTAAAGAATAGGCTGTAATGTGATCGTTGTCTCACAGTAAAAGGCTGGTATTTGGCCTGTGTGCTGCATTCATGTGCTGTGATAAAAAAAAAGACAAATACATTTCCGATGGCTGTATTGTTGATTGATCGGGGCTTTCATTCATCTCATTTGAGCTCCGCTGATTTAAAACCAGCTCCCTGACGTAACTTTCGCATTTGTTTATTTATTTATTTATTTCGCAACCACATCGAGGCTACATTTTCCTCTGGCTCCCTAACATGACCGCCTCGGTGCCGTACAGTCACCAGGGGGCATGCACATAGTAATAATAATAATAATGCATTTGAGGAAAGCCTGCTACGCCGAGCCTCCGCCGTTCGCAGCACACGGCCGCGGTGCGATGGAGATGTGCGCTTAGGTTCATGTGTCCGGCGGGTCTGCCCCTGGCTTTTTTTCTGGGGAAGATCATATTGGATCATATTGTTTGCAGGACGTTGTTCCTCCTGCAGCCCCCCCAGTCTATCCCGACGTAGTTGTGAATTGAACATGGCGACTGTACCAGTATATTGCATCTGCAGATTACCTTACGACGTGACCCAGTTTATGATCGAGTGCGATGCTTGCAAGGACTGGTTCCACGGCAGGTAAGGCACGATTGTTCGCCCTTGTGTGTGTGTGTGTGTTTTTGTGGCGGTTTGCATTTGTGGAAAACAAACAAAAATGGCGAGGTCTCGGTGCGTTTGACAGCTTTGTGGCTCTCGGTCGCCCGTCTACATCTGAAGAGAGGCCGCTTGGAGAAGAAGAAGAAGGCGGAGTTAAATATAGCCGACCGGGGTTGTGACATTTTTTCGCGAATAACACTAAACAGATTCCCCGTATAAAAAGTTACAGTGCTTTATTGAGTGATTTCGGTGCGGGGCTTCGTCTATTAACTGCACTTAATGGGTTTTTAACATCCCCGCATAGCCACAAAGTAACCGTCCCCGCCGTAACGAGCGGGCAGCGGGGGAAGCCTCGGCGGACTCGCTGCTCATTTCTCCCCCTCTACCTCTCTTCATACCCGCTCTCAGGGCCACATTTCTTCTATATTTTATCTGTAAATGTTGTCACATGCGACCGTTCGGTTGGCTTTTACCGACTGTTCGCACAGAGCACGGTGGAAAATCACGACCCGAGTCTGGGAGCTGAGCCCCGCTCGGCGCAGCCTTCATGCCAGGCGGCAGCTATGGCTGACAATAGCCCGTAGTGGAGGGCTTTAGCGGGCTAACAGAAGAGCCGCTGTAACGTCCACCGAGCTGCTCTGTCTCCACTCGGAGATACAGATAACGGCTGTTTTGTTTCACTGCGATTAAACGGAGACGTGTCGTCCGCCGCCGCTCATCACTTTCCCCGCCGTATATGAGCTGTAATGATCTGTGCCAAATCCCTGTTATCATCGTGCTTTATTTCCCTCCCGCTGTCCCGGTTGTGTCTGCACTAACTGTCCCCGCACTCTGCCTTTGTTTTGGCGTGTTTCACGCTGTTCGGCTTCACTCGGGGTGTCTTTTTGGGAAGGGATGGTTTGTTAATCGTGTTTCGTTTGACGAACAAGCCCTTCAGAGAGCGATGAACACAGTATTTACGCGCCTGAACGTTAACCCTTTCAAGCTCCCCCTGGCTGCCCGGGCTGTACATGTATCACATTATGTGCTGGTGAATTAAATGATGGGGATAAGCCATGACCTCCAGTCACGCATAAGCCAGACAACCGGTGTAATGAAAGAGATGCATACTTTATTTCACAAAAGCATTAAATGTACACCTGCTTATGCTTTCATATTTACACAGCTTACATCTGCTTATTATGTTATATGTATATGTATACAAGAAGAAATCCTTTAACGGTTCATGTGCCCTGTTAATAAGGGAGACACTGTATTTTCTTAATGAAAACTGTATTACACTGCATTCCCCATTAGGGGTGTAAGAAAATATCGTTAAATATGGTGACATATCGTTTAGTGATATCGCATCGATTCTCAAAAACACCGTATGGATTTCGGCCTTTAAACAGCAGCAGTAAACTGAGGGCTATGATGTGGCGTTGCATATGGTGGTGTGTTCTTTGTACAATACATCATACATATCACAATACTATCACAGTATCACAATACATTGCAGTATATTGAATTGTAGTATTGTGTATATCCCTGCTAATAATGCAGTCCAATCACTCACAGTCTGGAGCTGGACCTCAATTAAGGGCTTCTGTAGAAACATTGTGGTTCAATATGACACACTGCATGGAAGGCAGCTGTATATATGTTATTATATATTCAGGTGATTATACAATAATGAAAACACATTTATGAATATAATTATAATAATAATAATATTCTGCCAATAGATCCTCCTAAATGTTGCACACATGACCTTTAAATCAAATTACTAATATTAAAACCATAGTTTGAACTAATTACAGGCAGTATGACAGTATGGAAGTGTGTATAGAGCAGATAAAAACAGCACTGTAATAGCTGTGTAAGTTCAGAGAGAAACAAGCTATCGTACTTTATGAACCTACATTACATTGTTGTTCTTAGAGGAGCTGGATCTGTGCTACTCCGTTCTGAGATGTAGTCACTGCAGAGGATGTTATGGTATTATTTGTCTTGTGTGTCATCAGCATAATTATGATGCACAGTGTCATGGTATGATGGCAACATGAACAAACTGAAAGGCAGTGAACCAATAATTGAATAAAGCATGAAGGCTCGGCTATCCTCAGATATCTAAAGACTCCGTTGTGATGAGCTGGAGATTGAGTGTATTCATCCCTCGCAGGCAGGGTGGGATATTATATTTGTTTTTTTTTTTTTTAAATGTGAGTATCTAGCAGCCACTGACAGGTAAATGTTCACTTTCACCATCCACTCAATAGTAAGTCATTATTTTGTGTCTGAAATCTACCAGCTACTTTTATGTTTTACTAGCATGCAGGAATATGAAGTTGTAACAAGATGCAATAAAACTAGTAAGAGAACAGGTAGTAGTAGTGAGCATGTAGGTAATGAGGTGAAAATAAATATTTTGGTAAATGTTTGCTGTCATACAGTCCGATAAGAAGACTGGCCTCAGTGTCTCTTTGTGTCTAGTGCTAGTCTGAGGCTCCATCCAAACTGAGAAACATCACTTTCCTACAACTTGTAGGCCGTCTTATTCACATCCAAGAGTCATCTTGCTTTCATCCATGTTTGAGTCAGTGTTCAGGAGAGGCCTTTTGAGATGCTGCTTGCAGTTATTGTGCCCAGCTGTTGTTAATCAGGAAATAGTTCAAACGCTAACTGCTCCCAAAACCACAATGTCTTGTTTTTACTGTACATTTCTCTTTCATCCCACGCTGAATGAGCAGGCCAACATGCTCATAAGTCAGCTTTGGAATTGTCGGAGAGCTGCATTAGTCAGTATTTCTTATATTAACACTGTAAGAAATGAGTGTGTGTAATGTGAAAGGGGTCACTGGTGTTGACAAACCCACAGAGGGTTACTGCCCGGCTCCACGGAGCTTTTTAGCCTCTTTTGGCTTATTATTTTGATTTAATGGCTGGTCCTTCTAACTGATCTCGTCAACCCTTTTTACCAGAACAGCAGACGAGCCCTGATAAACCCACTACATGCAGTTAGCGACTTAGCCAGCCGGTGAGGAACGTCAGACATCTTGCAGCTAAAGTTTCTCCCAAGAGCTGGTGGACACCAAAGTACAGCTACAGGAGGGGGAATATTGGGCCCATAAATTGATCAACACACATTATTGGTCAATATCAGCTGATAAACAGATATATCGATATGGGCACGTAAATAGGCGGAGATGCCAAGGATATGTTTGTATGTTTATAAAATGTCACTGTAACATTGTTCCAAATGGTATCTTCTACTACCTAAAGTGTCCCGCTCCATACATATCTCAGTCACAATTCTTTAATTACTAAACAAATGGTATCGTTAACCAAAAAATGTGTTTACATTGGTATTTACATAAATTAACAAATACAATGAACTCAAATATCAATATTGGAATTGGCCTCAAAAATTCAGTATCTGTTCAGCACTGAATAGAAACGTGACTCCAGTGATAATGTTGTTATTGGATGTGTAAACCGTTCTAACCAGCACAGGGTATGTGCAGTATGCATTCATCTGAGTCATTTCTTTACATCAGGAAGTGTTTTTTTTGGCTTCATGCCTCACTAAGCAACTTATAAACGGAGCCCCGCCTCTGATGCTATATCCAAGTCTTCCTCACCCCAAACATAACCCTGTACTGAATACACTAAGAAAGATCTTGTCTCCCAACAATGGAAACAACAATTGCAAATTCAACAGTGCAAAAACATTTCTTCTCATCAGGCCTCAATATGTGTTGTAGTTCATGTGAAATAATGAGTCATTTCTTGATATTACACTCTCTTTGTTAATGTCATTGTTATATGTTTATGCCATTTAAAAATCATCATGGTTTTGAGTGCTGCCTGTTTGTTGGCACCACAAAGTCACATCACGCAGATGTGTGTCAGCACTGAAGCTCACACAGCACCACACCGTGTGTGCGCTCTCAAAGTTAGAAGCTGTAATACCAAAAAATCCATAAAGTTAGTGCTCTGAACAACGTAGATAAACTACAGCGCTACTGCACAGTGTTTATTACAGTGCGCCTTCACTGATGCCAGTACATACTGCAACTTGGTATTACTACTATAACTATAATTATCTGGTAGTGTTTTAGAATCTGACAAATTAATTGCAAGCATTACTTGATGATTACCCAACATGATTATCTAGTGCATAGCGAATACTTACCGTTCTGTGTTTGATCACTTCATCTCCACTGTCACACAGCTGACTTCACACAGACCACCAAAGCCACTGAATATATCTTTCTGTCTTTAAATGGCTGTAGTTTTTTGTCAAGTAGATAATCAGTCTGAGGAGTTAAAGCAGGTCTTACCTCTGAGTTTTAGCTTTATTTTACTTACTTAAATATCTTACCTGCCCCACAGCAATCTGCTATCGCTTATTGATCCTTATTGAAGCACATTCTGACCACACTTGGGGCCGGCAGGTAGTGTACGGTGGGTTTACCAGAGCTTGCTTGCAGAAAATATCTGCATGTTGCTCGAAACAAGGTTGATGCCAAACAGTAAATGGGCCATAAAATAAAAATAGTGAGCTACAAGAGGCTAAAGAGGCTAGAACTGTAGAACTGCAGATGTGGATGAATATCCTCTTTCGCATTACACAATGCTAATATAAAATATCAAAAATAAAACATTACTGTTACTAAGCTATAACTGCAGGGTAATGCACACAGTAGACAGACATAGTATCTTCTGTTGAGAAACAGTCGTCAAAAAGTGTTGAGCTACCAAGCGTAAAATAACCCTAAGTCAACACTTCCTGCAGCTGCTTCACAATAAAAGCCTTCTGGTGATTCACTGGAGAAAGGAAGCTCGAGAAGTGCTGAGTGTGCAATGGCAGGACGTAAAGATTTCATTGCGGCTCTGATAGAACAGAAGAGCTGATCAGTGAGTTTACAAAGGTAGGAGTGAAACCAGCAACCAGCGTTAACCGCTAACTGACATCAGAGCTACAAAACAACTGAAAGCAC